ACTACTGTAATTCTGAATGTGCGCAAACCCATGGTGTCTTCACCAAACAACAGGTGTCTTCAACGATGCATTCGAATATCACTCCAAGTGGTTTCCCCCAATTCTCCCTTTCTTACCGTTGAGGGGGTACTTGTGCATGGAGTGGACCTCTAACATGTTTGAATGTAACATTTTGTGCATGGAAACAAACAAAAAAACAACCCCACAACCAAAAACTAAAACAAATTTTCCAAATGTAATGAAGTACATGTAAACTCTGAAACAAACATTTATCAGATATTTTGTTTGAAAGGGAATATACAACATTTGCAAACATCGAAAAATAAAACTACAAGTTCTTACAAAATACCTTACTAGGATGTTGGTAAATGACAGTCTAAAGCAGCCTGTAAAATTATGGCACCTGGTGTGAAATCATTATCAAGAAAATGATATTTTTGTATACATTTCCAACGGTGGTCGGCTGACAGGCTAGCTAGACTGATTCCCTTACAACTTTCCAACATCTATAAATTGATCCATTTTATCTATAAGTAGAGTCAGGGAACCAGACTACTTGAACATTTCTTTTTGTTTTTTTGTTTTTCCAACATTTTCGAACACAAAACTTCAAACATGTCAGTGTAACAATATTTGATCTATTATACTATCCCCTCAAAAAGTTCATTTCTGAAAATTACAGCAAAAGCCAATGATGTACATTCCCTCTACTTGTGAAACTGTAACGTGAGCCTTGGTTCCACTCCTGTCAAAAATTGAAGGGACAAAATTACATGTAATTCTGAGTAATTTTTGGAGATGAGGAAATATTGGGGAGAAAATGTGATTCGCTTTCATTTTCACCTGCATAGTTCTTACATTGGCTGTTGGTATAAAACTGGTGTGATATCTTGGAATAGTGCAGACTATCAGATATCTGTTGCAAGTTCAGATCAAATGTTGAAAGTGGAGATCAATGCTACATGTACATGTACAGTGAATGAACTACAGTGTACAAACAGTAGGTGATGGCTTCCCCTAGATCGCTTTCACAGGATTTCAAGGTTTCAAAGCAAGAGGAAAAATTGAGGGCTGCTTTACAAAGAAATGTACAAATAGTCTCAGTGTGTACTTGCATCATTGCACCAATAGGCCTTCTCATAAACACAGTCTTTCTCTACACGGTGATTCGAGTGAAGTCCATGCATACAATCATCAACATTTACTTATCCAACTTGGCTGTGGCTGACTCACTCTTCCTTATCTTGCAAATTATACATCTTTCACTGGCAGAGAACTCTTTGAAAGCACAAACATGTGTCAAATACTTAGTCCTTGCTGCGTCTAATTTCTTTGTGGTTACCATAGCAGCTGAGAGATTCTATGGAACGTATTATCCAATGAAATTCAATGTAAAGGCTTCTAAATCTCGGGCGGCAAAGATTTCGGCAGGAATCTGGGTACCAATCATCATCATTGGTGTGATTTTGGGATTCGTACCAATCACAGATGCTGTCTTCATTTACACAGTTGTTGCAATTGATGCCATCGTCAATATCGTGTCGTTAATTGTTACTCTCGTTTTGTACATCTTAATTGTGGTTAAGGTGCACTATCAATCAGCTCTGTTCCCAAACCGTCCCAAGCAAGCAGGCAAGGTCCTTTGCATGGTAATCATCAACACTGCTGTCTTCTTCATTTTCAGCTCACTGGATGTTGCAGGTGCAATCGTTGTCGTTGTTTTAGCCTATAAAGATGTGTCTACCCAGACTGTTGAGTTTTTGAAACTAGGAGAAACAGTCTTCATTGTGAGTCTATGTACCAAAATTGTGCAACTTATCAACAGCTCAATTGATCCTTTAGTCTACAGTGCCACAAACACTGACTTCCGCGCAGCTGTAGTCGAGGCATTCTCATGCCTGAAACTGTGCTGTCGTTGCTGTCCAAGACGGAATCCCAGCCGACCATCGCAGCCAGGGAAGCAGATTGAGCTACGTGTGATTCCACAACAGGCAGAAAATTATCAAGAGCACCGTGCTGCCAGGCCAAGCAGCAGCAAGCCACCAAGCCAAGCGCATGCACAACCCACAGAAAGTCAGCAGTCACTGAACAGCTATCAAGAAGAACATTGGTCCGGGCAAAGCAGCAGCAAGCCACCAAGCCAAGGGCATGCACAACCCACAGAGAGTCAGCAGTCACTGAACAGCTATCAAGAAGAACATTGGTCCGGGCAAAGCACCAGCAACATGGCATCCATGCACAGTCAGCACAATGTTCTGGTGCATGTTGAGGTACATGCAGAACCAGCAAGGGACACCAGCGCTTACAAGTTCTCATCAAGAACAATGCTCTAGTCTGACTGGCTGCAAGCCATCCATGCAAGGGGAACAGTGTGTACATCCAGAACCAGCAGAGAGCCAGCAGTCACTTGCAAGTACTCAGGAACAATGTCCTGGGCTGACTGGCACTGAGTCATCAGCACTACGGCAGCAGTATGCACATCCAGAACCAGAAGGGAGTTCATCGTTTGAAACTTGTCAAGAACAATGTTCTCTGGTAACTGATGAGTGCAAACCATCCATGTAAGGGGAGCAGTGTGCAGAGTCAGCAGATAGTCAACAATCACTTGCAAGTATTTTTCATTCTAAAACAATGTTCCAGGCACAACAGCAGTGTGTCATTGGAGCAGTATCTGTGGATGTCAGCCAACTACAGCTAGCCAACTACAGCTAGCTCAAACTGATAAGTGGCTCACGCTTTTAGTCATTTCAAAATCCTGTAATTTCCCCTAATAGCACTTCTGTCTGTACCAAGTTTGAATCAAAGTTTTGAAAAGATTGTTGGCCCATCTACACAAACACAAACCATGGGTTTTTACTGCTGCAGGCACATCATGCCAGTGACAACCCACCATTCTGCATACACTTAAATTACACTCCTTCATGTAAATCCTTTTGCCTTTCCACTAGATAACACATTTTACTGTACTTGTACTTAACCCTAATTAAACTCCCTGTGTGAAAAATGTATTTAAATTGTAAGAAACGGGACTGTTTCTATGGTCATATCTCGTGAAGATTTGCATGCTCTAAAAATGGGATGACAATTCACCACTGTAAATATTTAAAAGCTGAAGACTTTTCTTTTTTCTTATATATATATATGTGCATGTATTTGCTACAGGTTTTAGACCCAGAGAGTATTACTAACATTTATAGTAAAACTCTTCAGTGTGCATACATATAATATTCCACAAGTGCAAAGTGGAATACTGAATAAATGTAGTGCATCTGTGCCATCTGTGTGCCACGTCATGAGGCCGAAGGCCGAGTGGTACATGTACGTGGGAAACAGACACACTACAGTTTCCGTGTTCCACGAGCACGAGTAGAATGATAAATTTATCTTCAAGCAAACAAGATGTACAGTAAAGTTGGAACGAACACGTTGTACATGAACTTTCTAGCTGTTATTCTATTACACGTACGCGCAGCAGAATGGCGCACGCATCTAGGAAAGGCGCGACATTTGGAGTATGATATGGACTGTGGTATATGGTCAATGTAGCATGTTTGTTGCTATGAGTTGACCAATCAGGATGGAGGATTCTAGTTTGCTTGAAGATAATATTAGTTATCCCACAAGCGTGAGTGGAGTACTGAATAATGCAGTGCGTGGGTGTCCACATGCCACCAGGCCGAAAGCTGATTGGCACATGGAATTACATTTTCCACATTCCATGAGTGAGAGTGGGATTTTGAATTTATCATTCAAGCAAACTTGACGCACAGTAAAGATGCAATGCGCGACTTTGGAATTCACAGTGGCCTGTGCAGCACTAACCGCGCCGCGTAAGCTCAGATAACGCGTGATACTCGTGGTGTTATATGGACCGTGGGTATATGGAATAATACCACACTGTTGTTGCCATGGATTGACCAATCAGGATCTGTGATTCAAGTTTGCTTGGAGATAAGAATCATAAATGTAGTGTAAAGATAAAAGGTGTACAGAATGCAATTGAACCTCCCTTTAATTCCTTGTGGTATTTACAAAAGTAAAACTAAAAGGTTGCACAAATATCAGTTTTAAATACAATATTTAGTGCGTAAGTGTGACGTCAGTTCAACTTAAACCACGCTCACTGCATAGGGAGTAGCATTGAAAATCATTGGAGCCACAGGAACCAGAAGTAGTGCACAGTGGCGTGTTCAGCCAATGGGCGCTAGTAATCAGTGGTGCGTGTGCATGTATGACGCAGTCACTTACGAACCAGATAAAGCAAAGATGTAGCTTTCATTTCTTACTTTACACTTTCTTTGCATTGCAAAAAAAAAAAAGAGTTAAGTGGAGCAAGCACTGAAATAGAAGTAAACCCCGAAACAAAAACTGTTCAGATTTCAAGCGAAAGTCAATTGTGAAACTGTAATGTATGCGTTGGTAGCGTTAGTAACAATACTGTCACAACAATAGAGACGAAACTACTTCTTGTGTATCTTATAACAACGAGGAAACTTTGGGGGAAAGTTATGACAAACAATAGAGACGAAACTACTTCTTATGTATCTTATAACGACGTGGAAACTTTGGGGGAAAGTTATGAAAAACAATAGAGACAAAACTATTTCTTATGTATCTTATAATGACGGGGAAACTTTGGGGGAAAGTTATGAAGAAGCTTTCAGTTTCAACTACATGTACATATTTCTCAAGAATCACTTGCAAGTTCAAGGTTTGAAATCACTGGGTCGATACCGATTGGCATTAGGAGACACAAATATTTATCCAAAAAACATGCAATTTTCAAGAATATGGTTCAAACAAAAATAAGTTGGAAACTGATGCAAATATGACTTTAAAGTTCATCGCCTGCCGATCCTTCAAAATCTCCCTTGAATTTTTGATGTTTTTGTAGGAGTGAGCAAAAGGAAAGGAAAGCACAGCTACTTCTTAATGTAGCAGTAAGAAGGTGCCCTGAGGTTTCAAGAGTGACCCACATGCAACTGCATTAAATATCTTACCTCTGTCTAACTTTTTCTTGAGCTCCTCGATTTCCTTCTGAAACTGTCGCAGCAAAGCGTCTTTGGGATCTTCGTTGATGCGCGCGTTGTTCTTGATGTTCTTGGCTCTGTTGGCATAACGCAGTGTGCTGATTGTCTCGTCATAGTTGTACTCTGCCGGTCCGATGTTAGCACACTGCAAAAAGAACAATATAACAGAGAAAACTTCTACATTTGTACACAAATTTGTTGGATGTCTTTGTGCAAAAAATCGAGTGTTGTACTTGCTTGTGTGAAAATATTTGTTTTTGTAACATGAATTATTGTGCTTACATTTTTACGCTGTTTATTTCAGTTATCCACAAATAAAAATAGATTTAGTAAACAAGAACAGCTCGTTAGATAATTCAGAAAAGTTTTTTCTTTTCTTACCATTACGGTTTTTGCATTGCCGCCCAGAGAATCTTGCAGTAACCGTGTGAGTTTGGAGTTTCGGTACGGTATGTGCGTGCTCTTGCCGTCTACAAGCGACGAGATCACATTGCCTAACGTGGAGAGTGACAGGTTGATTTTGGTTGCTTCTTTCAACCGCTGGCCTGTTGCTCCCGTCTTGGACTGACGTTCTGAACCCTAAAAGAAAACACAAATTGAGACTTTTTAGAATTAAACTTGCACACGACTGCCTAGTTATGTTTTGCTGAATGACACATGGGCTAACTACAGTGAAATCCCGATACGTCAAACCTCAAGGGAACAGGTTCAAAATTTGACTTCAACAGAGTGTTGAGTTAAGCAGGGTTGTATATCATTGTTACAGTACTGAAGGGAATGGATTCTTTGTTTGACTTAACAGTTGTTTTAAGTTATCAGAGTTTGACTTATCAAGATTTCACTGTAGTCTATGGAATATCCCCTTGCACAGCAAGGGTCTATGATATGTGAGCAGTTTCGGTGATTAATTACACAAATCAAGTCTGCGTTCTTACCTCGAGATTCTGATATTCTGACCGTTCAGCGGGCGCCTTCTATTGGGTCTTCCGTAACCCATTGTTGCATTACAAAAACATGGCATCCAAACTGACCAATCCATAACTTAGTCCACATTTCTGATCGAAATGAGGTCACAGTCTCTAAGGACCATTCTGTTTGGCTGGCGCCCGGGAGTCGCATAAAATTTATTCGGCGATATTATTCCACGTTCAAGCATGGCTTTGCCCACATGAATGCCCGATACTCAGACTATGGGCTTACATGTACAGACAAATATCTTACAATTGTGAAGTGAACTGCGCATATCAAAGGTGTTGAATGAATGTGAATAAGCTCACAAAGATTGCCATGCGTACATACAGTCTTAATTTAAAGAAACTCAAAGATTACAAATTAAAACCTCTCTGAAAAAAATGACACTGGGAAAATCTTGAATGTCTAAAATGACAGGATGATGTCTTAGGGGTTTACAAAACTGTGGCTTTGTCTCCAGCTTTGCCTCCAAACCCAAACCTTATGCGACAGAGTGTGGTGTCAACTGCCAAGCGAATATAAAACAATGAAGCCGAGGCCTGAAACCAAATCCACAGACAAAACCGCAATTTCGCAAAAGCCTTTCTGAAGCAAATTCTTGAGACACACATTTTGGTGAATGCTAAATTTAGGCAACTCAAAAGAACAACAAAATCGTGAAATTGTATTTTTTTTTATTGAACTTACTGCCAGGTCCACCATATGCAGCTTGCCCGCTCTCACGTGCTGCTCTTTGTCCGGTCCAACATCGCTCCTCTCCACTGTGATGCTGAAGATAGCGTGCGACCGAGAACTGTGCTCGTTCATGTTGGTTGCCCCGACTGAGCCTGAAATTAAAACGCGTCAACATTTAGGCCTGACAATTCTTTATCTGCCGATAAATTTCACTCTTTTTCCCCATTAGCATTGCCAGGGAAACACTGGAGCAAGAAAAGACAAGCTCCACGAAGGCTCTTCGTTACTTACGGTGACTGTTTCCCAGCGTGGTTATTCTGTCCATGTCGTCGGCATTGTTGACGACAAAGGCGGACAAGTCTTTCACGTACACTCCGATGTCGGGACGCTCTTTTACCTGAACACACAAAAAATGATCAAAACCAGACTCTGAAACAGGAATAATCACAATTTATTCATAAATCAACCCATTCCAAAGAAATACTTTTAAAGTATTCTGTGTTACATTCATGCGTATCTATACATGCATACAGGTATCTGTACAAAAAGAACGACAAATAAAAGACATACTTCATAATGATATTTGTTTTTTTTGAGATTTAAAGGTTTGCATGGTGGAAAGATACTAAGACAAGATAAGTTTGCGGTAGCACCATGTGAATACATCTCTTTTTTTTTTAGTATGTGTGGTTCTGAAAAGAACCGGAGGGACTCAACGTTTCGAACAGTATGCTCTGCCCATTGTCAGGAGAATGAGGGATTCCAATGATGATGCGATGTTATTCGTTATTTGTTTTTGTTGATGTTGAACTTATGAGCATTGAGAGAGTGAACGGGGCAATTCCCTGCTAGGGAGTATTTCGATAATGTGCATGGTGTTGCCTGCTGGACTTACCTCTAATCTGGCCGACAGGTCTTTGCCTAGTAGATCCTTCACTTCCTCATTGTAGATCTCAAGGTAGGACACTCTTACCAAGAATCTAGCACATCAAAAAAGTCATCAACTTTGATTTGTCAAACTGTACTTGTTGCTTGAGCATTCTGAGATTCAAGGAATCCCCGAGAAACAAGATACAATTTATTTTCAAGATGTCACACTGAATGGAAAAAAAACACAAACATTCATTTACCTTACGCTATCCCCAGCCTTTGCAATTTGTCCAAAGATGTGCGCGAAGGAATTAGGAATGATGCCTCTCAATTCCGGCTGGGTTCTTACCCCCTCCATGGTAAACGTCTTACCAGTTCCAGTTTGTCCGTACGCAAATATGGTACCTTCATATATGCACAAGGAAGAAACCAACAAAATAATTTGGTTTATAAACCTTCATAAATATAAGTAAATAAACGGTAAGCATACACTGTCTGTGATTCATTGCTTGAGAATAATGTCAGTTGGCAAAAAATTCTCCAAAATGTTCATGGGCCCAAGACAGGGTCTTCATCAGCCAAGTTTGAGGTCTCAAAGGAGACTTTTCTTCAACAATTTGAACCTAACATTTTGAAACTGAGTGTAAAGCCAAGTGGTTTCTATTTGAAGCCTAAGACTAGACTGGTACAACCTTTTTGAAAAGATTGACCCTTCAGTAGTCTGGCGGCATTGCTATGGGGAGAATGTAGAGAGAGACATGAGGTACCAGACATTTCTTTTGACACAGTTGATTGATGAAGCACAGAAGGATGTTAGACTGGTTGTTTCATGTGCCAGTCTATTTTCTTGCGTTGCATGTTTTCACTATCTTAAGTTTTGGGACTCTCATACACAGTATTGAGAGTCCCAAATGTTTGGACTAATCTTGGCCTTACCGTTATAGCCTTCCATCACCGCATCTACAATGGACCGAGCTGTTTGATTATAAACATCTGTCTGTTTGCTGCCGGGAGCAAATACAGTATCGAATGTGAAGGACTTGGGCGGTTCCCCTTTTGGCGCGGCAGGATTCTGAACCTGATAAAGAAAGTAATGACATCTATCCAATTAAAAACATTTGCATGCAACTCCAGAATGAACTGTGCACTGATAACTCATGCATAATAATATAATAATGGTATTTATAAAGCGCAGTTATCCAATATTGTTGGTGCTCAAGGCGCTACATCATTATTATTCTGCTCATTGGGCCAATGAAACATTCCAAATACCATCAGGTCCCTGGGGAGTATACAGCTCCAAGGGCTCGAAATACTCATTGGACAGTGGACCATGTCTAGTGATTTCGGTGTCGGTCTAGTGCTGTGTATGACTGCACTAGTCCGGCTGTCTAGTGTTTTTTTCTAGCACTATATAAACAAAATGACGCCCAAATATACTAGCAGTTGAGGTCTGATTAATAGCGTGCTTTGAATTCATTACTTGATTGATTAAAATTACCGGAAAAAACTCCTGGTGCCGTGCCGAACGCAATGAAGCTGCCTGGCCAACACGCCAGTCATGCCAGGTCAGTTGCAGACAAACGTACGTACATCCTACACAGTACATGTACGTTGGTACGATGTCGCGCCACCACAACTTCGATTGGTAGCAATACGTTGTATTTATATTACTGCTGTATTTCCCTATTAAGCGTCTTACCTGCACAGTTCCACGCATTTCATCAACCTTGACTATGGAGGAAAACTTTTGACTGACTTCCTTCTCATTGAGAGGGCGACATCGTACAACCACACGCACATTGTCTCCGCTGTTACTCTATGAAAGATTAAAACAAAAACTGGTGTTTACGAGATAGGTGCATGTCGCAATGTGGGCCGGCAGAAGTCACAGCGCGCAGCCGGCCGGCCATGACAGTGTGGCACTGGACTTTTTTTTTCCTGAAAAGCCACCGAAATCATCAATATTTTTCATATTTTAGTAACTTTTGTTTTGTTTCAAGTTGATCTTTAGCTCTGTGAATGACTGAGTGCACAGTATGAGGTATGTGTTAATCTGGTGGTTATGGAATCTGGGTTGGGATAGAGGGAAAATGTGGACCATTTTTTGTATGTTATACACAGGGTGCCGTATTTGTAGGGACTCTTACGATCTAGTTTCTGTTAGCTCCAGCTCTATAAGTTGAATTCCTGATGAGCATTGGAGCTGGAGTTACTCAAGCTAACAAGCCCAGTGACTTTTGCAGGCTAATGTATTTTTTTTTTTCAGATAAAGTGTTGTAATTTTGAAAGAAATTTTGTAAGTTTCAAAGAAACTGTGACTTCCCGACCTTTTTTTTGCAGTTAGACGTGTTTCTCTGGTCGTCTTTTACCCCTTAATTTCCCTCATAAATCAAAGCCCTGCCCTCTTTCCACAAAAATAAACCTGTCAATATTCAAGGTGTCATTACCAGCTGTTCAGATATGTCAAGAAAGGAAAGAATTCCATATGTATGTCACTAGTTTTTCCCTGCAAAACAATGACCCATCAGCCATCAGAAAGCGATAACGTCCTAAAAAAGTGAAATTTAGCAGGGAAAATATTGAAGCATTTAGTGAGAAAACACTTAGAATTTTTCAGACCAGTCTCGTAGGGTTTGTACAGCAAGTCAAGTGACGCCCGTATATGGAATTCTTTCCCTAAGAAATATCAGAATGTCACTTTTGAGTGTCATTTTAGTCAGTTGTTTTGGTGAGTCTTTTTTACCAGGTAACCTTAAATACATATCGTCAGACCCCCTAAGCTACGCAGTCCTATTTCTATGCACTCGCATTCAATTTGTGTGTGACAATCCGCACGCTTTGCAAGCGTTACCTGCACAGATTATGGAGGGTCGAGGATAAAAAGGAACAGGGTCCTAAAAATTACCCATCCCATCCACCCAGTCCAGCCCAGTGCATGATGATCATTCATTGACTGATTCGAGTGCAGTGCCAGTGCAGTGCCAAGGGGAAAACCACGAATTTACACACTTCATTCATGCTTTCCGTCACAAATTTTACGTCAGAATCGGGACTGGGGACTTACCGGCATGTTGTGATTTCTAGCGTTTCAGCGTAATCAGCTGGAAGGATACGTTAGGAAAATTTGAAGAGAAGATGGCATTGGCAGTGCACAGAAGCAAAACTAAGGAATTCGAGTATGTTAATGTAAATAGCGACCTCATGCGGCAGTCAGCAACCAGCTAGCTCGCCGATCGCGAAGCAGTCCTCGCGTACCAACTCGTACCTAGTAACAAAAGGGTGGATTAATGGTACGAAATTGCGGATTCACACAAATCGGTCGGCCTACTTTATAATCACTGATAATTACAGCTGTCAAGTTTTTTTTTATTTGTTTGGGGGAATTGAAGCAAAATGTCCCCAGGTTGTTGTGCAGTTGGATGCAAGAATCGCGACGAACGTAAAAGCCGCAAAAAAGGCATCACCTTCCATCGGTAAGCTGGCACCAAAAACTTCGTTTTATTTTTAAAACGCTTGGCAAGTCAAGTTGAGAAAAATGAGAGTCCCAAATTTTCGGAATAACTTATGTGACTGTGAGCTTCAGATCCCCTGTTTTCTGCAATGCTCCCTCAGTTGACAGTTAAATAATTATTTTTCCCACGATTTATTCTAATTATCGTTAGGCTATTTTTAATAACGTACTCCAGACTACCAGAGACAGCCATGAGAGCGGTTATTGTTTTACCAAAAATTTCACCAGTTCACAATCACAGCCAGACAATTGCAATTTTCTCACAAGCTCATAGTAAGATTGGAACATGTACCCGAAAATGTCGTACTGTAACCTTGCCAATATAATGATTGATGGGGCGCGGGCCATATAAGTCCCGCATTTTTTTTCAGACCTCTCTAGTTTTTCTACATGTATATTTCGTGTAATTTCGTGTTGGAATTTAGATATGCAAACGTGAACCCCCGCCCCCTAGCCCAGGTGGACTCCCTTCCCTTCTTACGTTACGGAGAATGAAGACTTCGTCCAACCTGGGCTACCCCGCCCCCTATTCATAGTGTGCAAAATGTTCTAAACGCGTGCATGTTGCTCGAAATTTCTTCGAAAACCGGCACAGCCAATGCGCGTCACGAAAATTTGACTTCCAAAATATCGATGCACTTGGCAGTCCGTAGGCTAGGCAGTGACGTCATTTGAGAGAGATCAATTGTGAAGTTGAGGGGTACTTGATCAAGGAGTCTATGAAGAAAATAATCTTAATACTCCTCAATAACCCAACCTCTGTTGCTTTTGTTTCCAAGTTTTGCTGTTTAGCGCTTTAAATGATCAAGTATTTCCAATTATTTTCCATTTTCAGCTTCCCGTTGAGTCAACCTGAGAGAGCACAACGGTGGATTGCCCACACCAGGCGAGCCAATTGGAAGCCTAGACCGTGGTCCAAGCTCTGCTCCATACACTTCAAAGAATCCGACTTCGATAGGACTGGTGCCACCACGAGACTCAGGGAAAATGTCATTCCGACAATCTTTGACTTCCCAGATAATCCGAAGAAAGTATGTTTCCCTTCTACTTTTAACAATAACAGTTATTATATTTTTCACTAGAGTATTATAGTGGCCATGCAATGTATTGCAAATTAGTATTATATTTGGTGTGGATAGATATCCGTGCCTCTTTGAGGAAAGTGTGGAATGCTTTTTCATACAAATTAATAGTGTTGGCATGTCTACTAATTGACTGGCTTGTTGGTCAACAAAGAGACAATATGATTAAAGGTTGATTATATCATTTGCAGCTATCCAAAAGTAACTGACCAAATAATTGTTGCAAAGCATACTTGGTTTAAAGATAGTAATGGCACAATTAAAACTCTCTGTAAAATTGTTCTTTCTGGCATTCTGTCATTTAAAAGAAAACAATAAAAGAAGGCCTTTCCAAAGACGCGTGTAAAGATACATTTTTGGCAATTTCCGTCAGTAATCGTTTTTAATTCGAAGACACCATGGATGGATGCGCGCAAGCTTTGACACAACGCGCAAGTGATACGTACGTCAGTTCAGTGCGTGACATCGCGTACCTGCAATCCGCTGAATGAGAACGTGTCCCGGACGCCGATTTCAGGCGCAGTTTAAAACATGACTCGGCAACTTTTGAATTGAAATAGAGATCCTAGAATATGGTTTTCTAGGAAAATACAGCATTCACTGAGCTAAAACCTCATCAGGTTTGTTGTTAAGCACCCTTCTTTAGATTTTGAGCACTATTGTTGCTTCAAACAAACATATACATGTACTCTACCGTCAAATCATGGTTCTTAAAAAGTTTTTAATTTCCTTTTTTATATGACTGGCTACTAGGCTGGAAAGGAAATAGAACTTCTGGAGGCCCCACCTGCATTGCCAAAGCCCACCGCAGAAAAACCTGACGCACCAAGCAAAGCCGTGGAGAAGCCCAACATCACAGCAGTACACACGTCACTACCAGAGTCGCACGATCACTGCTATTTCACCCGCGACACACCGGTGGTCTTGAAGCGTAAACTGGACTTCACTTGTGCCAAGCTGTGCAGCGTCAACAAACGCTTGAGGATGACGCAACAGAAATGCCGACGCCTGGAAAAGAAGGTGTGTTCTCTGGAAGCGACCATCTACGCGTTACAGGAAAAGAGACCTTCAGCGGCTGCCAGTCTCGACGTTTTGTCGGAGACTTTGCCGGGTATAGCCGTCGAGCTGTTGAAAAGGATGTCAAGGAGTAAGAAGAGGGGAAAAGCGTGTTACGGGGAATACCCGGCCGTGGTTGCGGACTTTGCCTTGAAGCTGATGTCTCTGTCCCCCAAAGCGTACTTTTACACCCGGAAGAGTTTTGATGGCGCGCTCCCACATCCCTCCCTCTTGCGGAGACGGCGCAGTGTGAAAAAAGATGAAGCAAAAGAGCTAGGCTCCGAGCAAGAAGACTTGAACGCCATGACTGAGCTGTCGCTTGTGAGTCTGATGTCCACTGAGGAGCTATCACAGTTGCTGCTTCCCCAAACTAATTCAGATGTTTAAACGCCTGAAATAAAACCAGCTGTTTGGTTGATTTTCCTCAGAATATTCATTCGTTACCTCTCCAGTTTTGGTATATTGGTCAGTGAGTTCTGTTTTGTACTGTTTTCTTGTTATGCAAAGCGCAACGTTCAGTTGCTTTGAGTTGTCCTATAAAAGTACGGTACAACTTGGTGTAACGAACACAATGGGTTCCACAGCAGTTGTTTAAAGCCATCACCAGTTGGTATTATTGTACATAAGAACAATTATCTAAGGTGGATGTTCATTTTGCCAAATGTTTTTTATATTTATGTTACATTACAAATGTTACATTTTTTCCTTTTAAGAACAAGAAACATAAAAAGTGTAATTGAATTGAATATATTTTACCTTCATAAACTTCGTAAAGCATGTTGTTAAATGCTAAAGCTTCTTGTAAATTTGAAAGATGATAAAATAAGGTTTCAATGTTTTAATCTAATACTTTCTTGAAGAGCTGTCTTTCATTTTCTTTTTCCTTGATTATAAGTCGGGATATCAACATGTATCATAGTCGCCCGTGCCATTTTGAAACCCCCGCAACCTTTAGGGAATGCAGTACAGATATTGCCCGCCCATCACAGGGCCATTGGCCATGTGGCTGTCGATGGTAAGCGTTATCAGGGGCCTGCTGCACTCTCTCGGCACGGCGATTTCTGTGAAGTCGTTGTCCAAGCATAGGGTATCTCTCCAATCGGCGTGGACCGCTTCGTCGAAGTAATTTTGCAGTTGGATGCAGAAACGGAACTGCCCTGCCAAATCATCTGTGTGGAGCAATGAGAACAGAAATTAAATTTTGTACATTTTATTTCAATGTAGAAATCTGTGTACGCACCCGGCGCGTCACCCCCCCCCCCCCCTCCGGAAATGTTTATTATGATTGCTGATTTCAGGGGTTCTTTCAGAGGTTCACGTTGCGGTCTGGGTTGTATCTGTGCTTTGTCCTTCATAATTTGCTTATATGTCTTACCTTGCACAAACTGAAAGTCCCATTCACTGATTCCATCAAATGCGGACAGCTTGTAAGTGTCTGGGTCCTTCGTGAACTCCAGTGCATCTTGGAAAGAAAAAAAAAAGGAAAAGTAATGTCGGTGCCCTTTCTCTAGTCTATGTAATGGTCTACTACATATGAACAGATTTGCTGATTAATTAGGCAAGACCCCGCCTCTTGACCTCCTAGTTTTTGACCAATCAGCAGGGGCCTTCTATATCGGATTTTCGGTCATTCACCCGTTAAAGACAATGGATTAAAAAAAAATGTGTCACGCGCTCTGTATCATGTTGCGCGATTATTAGCTGTTGTTGTATTACAAAACACTGCATTCGAATTGACCAATCAAACCATTTAGTCTGATTTAGGAATGAAATGACGTCACAATTTAGTAAAGTCGACTCCGATTGGCTGGGGCGCGGCTTGCATATATCGCTTTGTCAAAACATATCAGACGTTATTCAGGAGTCTTGCTCCGTGGATAATGGGGTGATACTCAGACTAGCCTTTCTCATGCATATCCAACAATTAAAAAAAAAGAAATTTTGCTTCCATCAAAGTGTGATTGGGTGGTACCTCTTTCTCATTTCGCCATTGCATTGTATGTCTTCATTGGCTGAATGTAAAATGTGGGTCAATTGAACATTGAATGTGGGTCAACTGAATTATTTGTAAATTACCCCTGTTCGTCAGAATCTTGAGTACAAATTTACATGTAGAGCATACTAATGTCATATTGCTTGCTTTTTGTGCTTGCTCTAGCAGAAAACATTTCATGGTGTAGATGTGCTAACTGTTACGCACATGGAGATTTCTTTTGTTACGTCACCGATTTAAGCAACTTTCTCCTCTGGAGTTAAGCGTGCTTTTGCTGTGAAATGAAATTGGGCCATGCAGGTTATCATTACATGACAAGATTGTACTTACATAAGCACCACAGTCCATTGGCCTGCACTGTGAAGCATTGTGCGCAAGCAGTGTCATCCTCGACGCATGTTACATTCAGCACTGAGAATTCCTAAATAAGGAATACATTTTGTCAAAACTAATAAGTTCAAAGTCACAGTTAGCCCCCCCCCCCCCCCAAAAAAGGATGATAAATTGAATGCTTTAACCTGACACAACTTTTTCACCAATGACGGTCAGTCAGTCACTGTTTACAAATATGTTGCCCACCCCCCCCCCACCCCACCCCACCCCCCCGAAATTTGGACTGAGAAAATTCAACTTATTTTGGCACAAGACACAAGCCTCAGAAATAATGTGAACGTGAATTTTGAATACAAATTTTAGAAATTAATTAACCCTCGCCTCCCCAACTCCATCAAAATCCATCCCCCCAGTTTTGGTGGATTTTGGGGGATTCGGTCCTGCAGGCGTGGTTTGACTGAATATTAATGGAGTATGATGGACTTGGGCCTGAAGGCCTAGAGCAAAGCATGCATTGGAAGTAGTGTGATTGATGGATTTTGGCGGACTTGGTCCAGTACTTAGTAAAAGACAGTAGGGAGTTAGGGTTTAACTATAGATTAACAACTGCCATTGGCCTAATAACGTTAGGTAATTCGTACAAATTAAGCCATACGTTTCCAAATTTTTCACATTCATAAAAGTATGAGCCACAGTTTTACATCACATAATTTGAAGACCAATAATTGAACTGACGTTTTTTTTCTTCTTACCATATTGCTGCGCTGTATATCTCTAGTTGCTTGGTCATAGTTGCAACAGACTCCTCTGATGGCCATCACTATAAATAACACATACACTTTTGTTAACATGACGGTTTAAGTTCTTGTGGTTTATATCCCCACAAAAGTCGTAAGAGCGATACACAGTACCACTTGCCTAACACGAACTTGTTTTCAAATCTGAAATTTCAAATTTTAATATAATTTTCTATACCTTATGGGGTTGAGGTTTTTTATGATGCATTCATTGTGGTTGTTTGCATAATGTGACATGCAATTTGCATTCACTTCTCGATTAGTGCATTTTTTTTTCGGTTAACAAAAAATATATAAATAAATAAATAAATTAAATGTAAATGACAGATGAAATGTTATCTTTGTTGCATCATATTATGGTTGCCGCCATCTTCCAAAGTTCTTGGGAGTACTTACATACCTCATGCGTAGCAGCCATCTTAAGAGGGCAATGCCTTTGTTAGGCTGGGATATGCAGAAGTGAACCTTGTGTGCATTTATTGTTAATGAATTAAAATAACAAAAAGATGCCCCCTAAGATGGCCGCCACGTGTCAGGTCTATTGTATGTCTTTTGTTTCGAGAATATGTTACAATGATTCTGCCGAAACTTTCTATTAAGAATTCAAAAAGTTGAAGCTTCATTAATCAAACAACTGGTAGGGTATAAAAGTGAAGTACGTAATATATTGATTATCTTATTCAAATTGTTTAATTTTTGGCAATTATAGAACATATGGGTAGGGTGCTTTAATAAACATGAGCAAACCTTTTATGCATTCATTGTTAATAAATTAAAGCAACATTCTCTGAGATACCATCAATACATATGGATGTACTACACTAAGGGCAGTAATTTATGGTAAATATATTCCAAACAATGGGGATAGTATCTCCTATAAAAATGATGCAAAAAAGTCTTAGTATGTATATGAATGTTACATCTTTTTATATATGACTTTAAGCTTTGCATGGCGGATGAGATAAAGTAGAAAGATTGCGGGTAACACCATGTGGAAAATAATCTCTTCCTGGAAGAAGTGTGGTTCTGAAAAGAACCGGTTGGTCGAGTGTAGAACTCGGTGTAGAACTCATACATTGGGTGTAGAGTTCTACACTCAACCAACCGGTTCTTTTCAGAACCACACTTCTTCCAAGAAGAGATTACTTTCCACATGGTGTTACCCGCAATCTACTTTATGACATCTTTTTGTTGTTAATTTGTTTTTTCCGCCTCTTTTTTGTTGGGGGGGGGGGCGGGGGCTCATACCTTCCATTCAGCAGTGCAGAGTTTTAACTTGCATAGGTTCTGCTCACAGTTTTCCTGAGCCTCCATTTAAATCAAATTCAGATTATCTTGCCCTTCCTACACCTGCTGAAAGATCAGAAATTCCAAGTCCTAACATAATCATTTAATATCAATCTTTAAAAAAAAGAAAAAAAGAAAAGAAACTAAACAAAAGGTGATTCTTCACTTTTTCCACTTTCCATTATTATAGCACAGTTTATTTTGTGTTGTCTCTGTTAATACAATCTTAACATTATACATTGATGATTCCATTATATTGCATTTAATCAGAGCAAATTACAAATAATTAACATAACGTGATAGGTTACAATTTATCACCGTACTATAAGCCTGTCTCGAGAATAAATAAAACACCAAATGAAATACATAGTTGTTTATTTAATTAGTTTCACTGAAACTTTTAACAATACATCAAGACTGTATATATACACCCGAGATACAAGTTGTCAAAACAAAACAAAACAAAAACAAAATTGAACAGCTACTGTTTTTCGGTTTCATTCTCAAATGCCTGTGTGACACTGACACAAATGTGGAGGTAGTCAATTTTTCTTTTTAGGATGCTGAGCAAGAAAGGAAAAAAGGAAGAAAAAAAAAAAAAGAAAGACAAATTTGAAAGACAGAATTTCATTTATCAGTTGTGAGAGGACTGCTTATTTTTCCATAGAGGTTACCCTGTTAAACAATACACATTTCATATCTTATATTCATTTAGTCTATCCCAGAAGTTAGCGAGGTAGACTCCAGCCTAAAATGGTTCAATTGACTTGGAAAAGCACACGCTATTCCAATTAAACCTGACGTTTCTAATATGCGGATTTATTCTTAACACAATTTGGCGTTCTTAATCTATTGATCAGCTTTGTCAAAACTTCTCCCATGTCTGGTTTGGTTTTCATAAACGATTTCAGGGTAAATGCAAATGGTGATTTTGTGGCAATCTCTTCAAGAAAGAACTGTGTTGCTGAAGACTGTGCACAAACTAAATACCCCCCCCCCCCCCCATCCGTAAGAAATTATGCATTTTAAAAATATTTTTAAGTGGGGCATTACCAATGAATGATTCACTAACTGATTTTTTTTTTCAACTTGAGATCCATGAGTGAATTCTGAAAGTGCTGACATTTAAACTACAGGTAAATCAGCTGCAATCTTAAATGGTTTTGTCTCACGAGTACACACGGGCTGACAATAAATTGACATAAGTTTCACGGAACGAAAATGTCATATAGATGTACTAGCACCTTTGAAGAAGACATGTTCGCTTTTTCATATCCTCGATATCAGTTATAAGAAATGTCCTTGTTTTTTGTAAAATAATTACTCTCAAAAGCCGTGGCTACATACAACCCTAAAAGCTTACTGCTCTGTTTCACAAACAGAGGTAACTTGCAGGTATCATGTTTTGTTAACGCTGTTAAGTTTTTCCTGCTATGAGTTCCTTTTTATTTAAAAATAAAAAAAATAAAGACACTTCTGACAGAAATCATATGTCATTATGTTAACTAAAACTACTGGTCCATTGCCTCCAGTTTACTGTGATGTGTTCATGCAACCAGAAAAAAAGTCACTTGATTGCAATAAAAGACTTTTTTTTTCCGAACCAATATCCCACCCACGTACAAATAATTCACGACTACTGGTAAAACACTCATACTATTTTAAATACAAGGTGAATTAGTGATAAACATGTGTTCCAAAAGTCAGAATGACTCGGAAACATTTATCCAATAAATACTGCACCATGACACCAACACCTCTGCGACGACATCTGACCACATTGTACACTTGTGCATGTCACATACTTAAGCGTGTTGTTTTATGCCAGCAATTTTACAGGCTTATTTTTTGTTTTTAATGAGCACAGTATATATCATCACAAGAAAGTGCAAGCTTACGTTAGATATAGAGATACACACTCTTGTGCATGTAAGTACGTTACAACCAGTGGTATAGCGACATATTTGGAGCAAGGAAAAGGGTGGTGCCGGGTAAAGTTTTGCACCACTAACGGAACAGCAACATCAAGACATCCAGTGCCTACTAATGCATTTCAACCAGATGCTGAATGGGTTTAGAGAATACTTGGGTTTTTTTTGAGGTCCGAAAATAAGACAGTGAAGAATACAAAATGAATATAATTCCAGGGGACAGTCTGAAAACTGTGATGGGTCTAAATGTACACGCGACGCATGTACGTTTTAAAGTGTTCTTCATTCTTCCTTTGAGACTAGGTCACGTGATACCTAGTCATGTGACAAAGTGAGTCACATGATACCTAATCATGTGACAAAGTGAACCATGGCAGTGCTTATATTTTAGGTAGAATTCAAGATATATTCTGGAAGGGGAAAAATGAACTTTTTGGAACAAAAGTTTGAAAATGTAAAGTGCTCAAAGTTGAAGGAAAAAAAGGCTGCATGTATGATTGTATGGCATGTCTTCTGTTAAAAATTGGGTAACGTTCCAGCACAATGCATCAATTTTTGTTGACAAGAAAAAACATCGGAGTCAAAAAGCAACAAAAGAAGAAAACCAAGACACATCTAAATACCAAAGATAGACCCAGAATATGAATACGTCAAAGGTCAGTTCCCCCCCCAAAAAATCACTAAATATGTTTTTTTTTTTTACCAAACTGATGACTAAAACAAATGTTGACAACAATAACTATTCTCAAAAATTATAATCCATGCTGTTATTGTGCAGGAACTGCCATGTAGCACAAATATATTACTCAGAAACCATTTTTTGATAGACAGTTCTATGGATTTCTTCACATTAAGAATCCCATGATAATTGTGCAGTTTTATGTACAAATTGAACCATGGAACACGGGGTACTAGACGGCAAGGATTGGCGGCAATACACTACTAAAATATGTGGAAATGGGAGAGAAAAAGTCTAGCATTAAAGAAAAGGAACTAACTTAAAAGTGAAACATGAGTTCTTATATCATTTGAAAATCATGTTCTTTATGTATCTTTTCAACATGTCAAGTTACCGGTAGATTTGATTTTTCACATCATTCTTGCAAATGTTGGTATGATGTGAAAAAAAAGTACATTCAACAAAATTGGTTTGGTTTCTGTATTGAAATTGCTGATTTAATCTTCCAGGACAATTTTGAATGCCATTGCATGTAGAATTCAAATACATGTATACCCCTCAATAAAAAAAGTCTTCTGTGATGAACATTTCATAATTTTATAATTTGGGATGTTAAAAAAATACGATAAAAACAGATGAATGAGTTGATTACAGAAAGGATTTGTTTTCTTTTAAGAATGACAAAAATATTAAAAAATAGCATTTCTAACCATAAAATGGTGTGTGTTAGTTTCTTCTATCGGGATTATAGGTTCTCTGTTTTTATGTACATAATTTAGACTGTACAATGGTTATATAATATAAATACTATACACATATATTTAGGTTCACTGTGGCGAACAATTATGCATCACAATAAAATATACCTGAGTACATACATCAACATTTTTTCGTTTCTACATAAATACACCTTTGTTTACTTGTTCAGATTGTCACTTCTAATAAATGCACATGAGAAGCGAGAGCACAAGTTGAAAACAATTCATTGAAGTACAATTTATTGAACAAAGTAAATTTTTTTTAAACTTCTTTTCTCCAAAAGAAGCTTCATGATTGATTACACTGCTGTGTGCAGTTGTAAGATATTTGTTTGCCAAAGGCAAATTATTGGTAATTTTTTTAGTTAATTTCGTGCTTTGTTACTTGCACTGATGATCTCTCACTGTTGTTTCGGGAAACACTCATAAACTTAACCAGTTCACGCTGGGATTATTTTGACAAGAACGGAACGAGGCGTGGGATTACTTCTCACTCGACCTCAGGCCAGGCGGGTTGAAGCCATCACCCTCGGGCAGCACACTCATATTTCCGGCCTCGCTCGCTACGAGTGGGTTGCTGACAGATGTTTCTGGCCCCGCTCATTGCGTGTTTATCCATCATCCGTTCCGAATACCGCAAAACCTTTGCGTGTATACAGGCCTCCGGCGTGAACTGGTTAAAACTCAATTTCACAGTTTTTGATTGGAAGTCAATTTTGAGTGTTGCTTGAACATCTAACTAACTGCGTAAAACCACATTTCGATTATTTTTTTACTGGGTGATCAAAGATATTTTGCTCAATAATTTCATTGACTTCGAGCAAACACTTGATTTTGTCTCCTGAGCACAGTGTGGTAACAGATATACATTTAAACACCTCTGTGTGACAAATGTGGAATGAACAAACACGACATATCCACACCATAGACGGGTACTGCACCAAGCAACCAGTAGCACAATAACGTAAGTAGATATGGATTGAAAACATGTTATCGCTTTAAGCGTGTTGTCACTTATAGCCTACGATTTCACTTTATCACTGTGACATCAAGCAAGACCCATAGATCTAAAGGGCCAGTCACATTACAGGAATTTTTGACAGGATTTGTGAATTTGGGCCGGAGTACACTTCAGACTTTAGTCTCGGGCCCCTCTGCCTCGTGGACGTACAGGTCCCGTATCTTGCCCACTAGCCTGGCCATGATGTGGCCGAAGGCCTTGTTGTACCAGTCCACCGTCCGCCCCTTGGTGTCGGCCCGGCAGATGTGCGTCAGGCGGGACTTGCCCGAGCCGCAGGGCTCGATCAGGAAACGGGAGGCCAGGACGGTGCCGCGCACCCCTCCCATGAGCGGGCCGTCCGGATGCTCGATGGAAGTGGAGACCAGGGCGCAGGTTCCCCGGGGAAGGTCATTTCTCCAGGACCTGAAAACGGGAAAGGATGGTTTGACCAATTAGCACCTGTGCTACATTGTATCACATTGTATTACATTGTCTTACATTGTATTAATCCTACAAGCAGTTATCAATTCACAACTGACTACCTGACTTCAACAAGTTTACTGGTCAAGTGGTAAGACCTCTGCACGAGTAAACAGAAGGTCAGGGGTTCGAGTCCCTCCTGAGTAAGCTTGTGAGTTCTTCCTCTCAAGCTCACAAACAACTCACTGGACCAAATGATACATGTATTTTAGGCTTAATGGACAGTTTCTGGTTGAAAATCATTGAAAACCCAAATCCAGCACGCAACGACATTTCAGGCACCAGAAGTGTCTACATGTCAACTTGTACATGTAGAATGTAAACAAAAGAGTTATGGAGCTTGGGAGTATCTGGTCATTTGTTTAACAACTCTGCAAATATTATGTTGGATGTTTGTTTTTAATCTGTTTGTGTTATAAGCTCAACCACTGATTTTCATCGTTCCTGCAGATTATAGAGCGCTAAACATAAATTCCAAGTTTTTGTATGCACCGCAATTTAGGAAGATGCATTTACACCTCGGAAGGGGTCAGTAAAATGTCAAGTCAGGAGTTAACGTGCTGATAGTCTGGTCCAGGTATCAGAACTCCCAGCTGTTGCCAGGTACTGGCCGTTTCCCCTTATCTCTCCTTAATGAGGCTATGGCGCCAGATTAGGCCGGCCACAGACAGTTTGATTGATGAGTTATCTCTCCAAGTTGCAATTCACAGATAGCAAATCTGAGATGATTGAACTTCATTGATGTACATGTGCATCACCGCTATCAAAGAGTTACTAGACTCCACAGATAGGGTGTCTTCAATGAAACTGAATTGAAGTTAAATTTTCAAACAGCAACTTTTTAATACTCTACTGGTTGCTGTTAACTGGGAAGTTCTCATATATATTGGCTGGTTAACGTAAACATCCATACGTTGTTCACAGAATTGTATATCTGGTCTTGTCTTCTTCTTTTTTTTTTACCTCAATCGGAAGATGGGTTACAAAGGTAATCGAACTGTCCAATTTCGGAATGATTTAGGAATTCTATGTTTCTTAGGAAGTATTTTGTCAACATTTTGTCTACAGATGATCTATATTGAGTTTTGCTGGTAACGTACCTCAAGACACAGTAGTCCCTGGATGGATGGGGAGCCATTGAGTTGACTACATACTGAAACACCTCGGTGGTCTTATCCAGGGTGTCAATTGTCCGCCACTTGACCAAATCCTCATCCCAAAGATGTCTAGGGACAAACAAAATGAATACAATGAATAAGTAAAGCAGTAAAGTCTGTCCCGAGCCAATGTGGCTCATCAGGCCGGCGTTTATCTCCTGTTTCAGTAGCATGAAACCTCTGAGAATATTTCTATTCCCCCTGGACGGGATGCTAGTCCATAGCAGGTAACTCCCCAGTTAATGCCGGTACCCATTTATACTCCTGGGTGGAGAGAGGCAAGTGGGGATGAAGTGGCTTGCCAAAGGACACAACATATGACCAGCGGCTGGATTTGAACCCATGACCCTCTGATCATGAGTCACAAACCCTTACCACTAGGCCACACTCCCCAAAATGCAACGATGAATCTACACAAAAATGATGCAACACTGGACATGTTTTGCCAGTAAGTGCAAGTTTACTGGTGCACCGTGTGAACAAATTCCTAGGTTTTTCATGCCCTCGAGATGTACAGGGTACCATTTACCCCTGCAGCTCTTCAAAATGCCACTGGCCACTTCACAGCAGAACAAAATGAGCAACTGGATGCGCTGGTACCCACCTCTCTCTTAGGACTCTCTGTAGGATATCAGCTGGCGGGGCACCAATGTCTACCGTGCATTTCCACAGTCTGAGTGGGTGGCCGTCGCCAACCTTCTTGTAGGCAACGTCCACATTGTCTACCGCTGGGCATGTGACCCAACCCTTGAACTTGTCTCTGGACTCCTGTTAAAGGATGACAACACGAGGATTAGTACAAGTGAAAAAAGAAGAAGATATTTTACTGTTGTTGTAATCATTTTAATCAAAGTCGAGTTTAAGTCAATCACGAGGCTCACATAGCATCGTACACTTGGAATCTGACAGCCGGAGAAATGACCACGATGAGCAATTACTACATCTTACAGTTGCGCAAATTGATTAAATCTGGGTTCAAGTGCAAAAAAAAAACGCCCCAAAAGAAGAAAAAGGGCAAAACATCCGACCATGTGGTTAAGGTAGAAGGGGAAGAAGCTGAGGATATCGAGTGGGGATATGTCTACTTGCACACGCGGATCGTCGAAATCACCCAGGCAACTGATCTTCAAGCATTTGTTGAAAGGCGACAATTGAAATTCTTTGCTCATGTCTGTCAAATGCCGAACTCTGCGACGCCAAAAAATCCTCACTTTCGCTGCACTGAAAAAGTGCAAAGGGAAACTAGGTAGAGACGTTGAAACCCTGCGCACAGTTGTGACAAAAACGCAGTGTAAATACAAATCCGAGCAACAGTTCCTGCGCGAATGTTTCGACCATGGTTACTAATCTTTGAACAATTCATGGAGTAATGACTCGAGTCTATGCCAACTTAAGAACGAAGTTTCCCGGTGGAATTGTTTGTATGTAAATCAATCTGAAGTCAATCGCATATCAGGTCACAAATCACAAGGAGTGAAGTTTCAAGAAAGCAATGCATTTGTCACAGTTCATTTGACCAGCTTGTCACCTCAGACCGGATGGCTCTAGATTGACCACTGATTGGCTCGTGACAAGTTGATTACAAGTCTGGATTTTGATGACAGCTACTGAGTCCAGTGTTTGTGTATCCACATTTGATATCCACCACTGCTTCGATCAAACAACGAGACGACTGCGCGCCACTCCCAGCAGCGACTGCATCCCGCATCACACCAATGCATTGACAGTATTTAGTACAAAGCACAATTTATAACTTGACAGAATAATACATAGAAGACAGTTAGAAAGGGCAAAGACTTTTTTAGAAACCTATTTATTTACACCCCACAGCAATCCAACCCTTGGACTCGCTCACCTTGAGCAGTCCTTGCAGGCAGCTCTCCATGTGACTCATGTAGTCGCCTGGCTCTTCGCAGCTTTTCCGCCCCAGCTCCTCCAACTCCACCGGCTCGCCCAGATCAATGTAGGAGAAGTGGCACTTGGTCATCAGGTCTTCCGGCACCTGTGGAACAACACGGGTAACACACGATGAGTATCAATATTCAGGCAATAAGTCAGTGATGAAAACGTACTGAAGAAATGCCGATTACCTACTGGGTGGTGCCCATGGGGCCGGGCCCCTCCTGACGAGCAACTGCCCCCCATTGTCAAAAACCATAAGCGTAAAAATTATTTATAAGTGTGTTTTTTCTTGTAGTGTGCCCCCTAGTTTATTCTGTGCCCCCCTAATGCCTGGAGCTAGCAACGGTGCTTGAAACTTGCAAAACCTACATAATATTTCCTTAGCCAAAACAGGTGAGAAATTAAACCAAAATTTCTTGAGTTGTGTAACTGCATGTGGCATGGTTTCAAGCTAATTTCTGCAAATCAAGAAAATTGACTAGTTTACATTTTCTGGTGAGTTGCATCACAAATTTGGGACCATGTTTTAACACTTGGTGCACCTATAGCCCTCTTCCAACACAAAACGAATGAGATTTAGTATGAAGACGAATGTATTAAATTAAACAAAATCATGTGTGCGTATGCTGGGGTTGCATGGCTCACTTTAACATGAAAATAATCCTTAGACAAGTTGGTAAACAACAGTTTGTTTACATTTCTGAGGCAATATAGTGTAAACAAATACAGTTTAAACAAATAAAGTATAAACAAATCAATGCTTTGCAAAATTTAAAAGGTACTGAATTGATTATTAACCTACTATTTATAACCCTTTTTTGTAGCCAGTATACTTACTATTTCGGGACAACAATATCATTAAATGTATTTTTGGCGCAAGATCGCAGTCGCAGTTTTAAAAAAAGTAGTTTAAGTGCACTGTGGCAAACACTCAGCATTTCCAATTTCATGGAAGCTAATGCCAAGAAACCCACAGGTTTTCGGTCGCAAAAACCAATTTTGAAGAGAAATGGCATCGAATCTGAAGAGAGATTTAGCCTTCGGTGAAACGAGATCGTGCCAAGTAAACATTACGCACTAAAAATATACTACCCTCGCCTACGTGAACAAGAAATCCTACAAGCCCACACCTGCGTGTACACGAACCTAGGTAAATGTCAGCGAGATCAGTGGCAGGGCAGCTTGCGTACGTGCCTCGCATGTTGACGAAGCCAGAATGCATAAATATAGACTGTGCTTCTAAAAATAACAGTCGCCAAACGTACGAGTGTTCGAAAACGTGACTTATATCCAGTGACCAATTTGGAAAGTACGCAACGGGATGGCAACAATCTTTTTACAGCACCTCTTTCAGACGAATTAATTTTGAAATGAAAAAAAACCAAAAAAAACACATTCCTGCTTTTCAGCAATAACTTAATGAAATGGACACATTGTCTCCTCACCCCCCTTTACTTTTCTGTGAGAATTGTAGAGACTGACCATGAATAGTTTCTTGACTTCTCGGATCATGAGCGCCAGGCACTCGTTGGCCGCCACATTCTCAATCAGCTCCTTCTGGTCGGGCCGGGAGGTGGCCATCTTGCGGGTGCGCCGAGGGCTGCTGATGTTGCGGTTGGGTGGGGTGGGGCTCTTGCCCAGCTGGAACAACGAGGGGGCGAAGCAGACAGCCAGGTTGTAGGCCGTCATCTTGTGGGGAAAAAAGGAAAGAAGACTCAAATGTTAATCACGGCATTTGGAATAGGATTGCCGCATGTAATTACAATTTGAATTGCATTGCCATATTTACCTGGTTCTCGTTTGAGTGATCGGCGATGTCGCTCAGGAACAGCAGCAGGGATTGCAGGACCTCTCGGTTCTCGTCTGGCAGAAGCATGATGGCTGCTTGGACGGCTGATAAACGCAGGTCCTTGGGCATTCCAGCTGATCAATGGATAAGGTACAGGAGGAGAGTTATTAATAGGCCAATGAGGATCAATGGTGCTTTGTGTCCTTCAGCAATATACTTTACACAAATAACTGGGAAAAAGTCTGTTTGTCAAACTCTGTTTTTAATGATACAAGGTTTATTCATAAGAATGAAGTTCTCATTGTTTACTTTAAAAAAAACACCCAAAACCGAGCAGCATGTGATTTGTCCTGATAGTCTGTTAAAAAATGTATCAACACGGCCTAACAATTTTGTACATGTAGGGTGTACAAGAATCTTATTCAAAGATTCACAGGAGGGTAGAGTTGCGTATTTCCTTTGCGCTCAATCCGGAAAATAAACAATGGTGTGGATTGATGTATTAATTTTAGAACTTGGATTTCTCATTCTCTTGTCTACTTAGCAAAATCAGTCCCGTGACTCTTCACTTCGTTTGTGTACTCTGTCAACAGACTGTGTTTCTGCCGCCGCGGGATACCGACTAATATTTGCCTTCCTCTGATTCAGGGCACCAGCAGATAAATCCCAAGTCTTGCATTACCATGGCAACCAGATTGACTTATAGACAGAGAGGATTTGGTAACTGATTGGATGAGCCAGTGTGCCCAAATGTAGACGTCAGGGCTATGCATTGCCCTAGCGTTGCTAGGAGATGCTAATATGCCAGGTATAATTAGGCAAACGGTAACTCTAACGAGTCCTACGAATCCACGAGAGTTTTTTTTTAGGATTTCACAGGATTGAGGAGAGTAGAGCCTGGCTCCTAATTAGTAGCATAGGGTTTGACGCGCCTTGAAAGTTAAACTGCCACTGGTGTCCCACACAGTTGGGGATTTTAGTAAATCAAGGGAAATTTTATCAACATGAACTGACAACCAGAAGTTACAGAAATGGCAACAAGGAATTGTTTTTTTTTTCTGCGAAAGGACTGCTCCTGATGGCTTCACACAAAATGACCTGATGCAAATTCAGTGCATGTAATCCATAGGGAAACTTGTTAAATGCCAACTTGTGATATGTGCACTTTCCGTGGATTCACTTCAGTTGGGCACAATAAAAGTAGATTCACACAGTGAAGCAATTTGTTTTGTCATTTGTAAGCATGCCTAAATTATTTTGTCCTTGTGCCCCGGTTATTGAGGCCAGCATTATGTAATACATGCATCCGGCTGAGTAATAAACAAATACAAGGCAAGTTTGGATTTATGGATACAATGAAATCTCACAAAGCTAAGCAACTGGCCTGGGACAGAAAACGCAAGTGCGCAAGTATAATCATTATCGTCAAAAGACTACTATTTCTCTCTTGCTTGAAGGATATTATTTGTGTTGGGTTAAAAAGGGATGTTTTGCAAATGGTCAGTGATGCAGATATTGTGATATGGAGCATTTAGACTCACAAATAATTTAATGGATGTTATACAACAGTAACCAATAAGTACTTTTCTACAAGGCAAAATTTAATTCGGAGCTTTATTTTTTTTTAATTTATGTTGTGACTTACATGTGAAGATGCTAATGAATGTGTCAGACAGCTTGGTAGTAACAACAGGTTCAGGCAAATCCCGGAAGTACTGTTTCAACATGTCGGCCACGTCATATGATGTTGTGTCTTCATAACTCATGTTATCTGCAAAGTCAAAAAGGAGATCAAATATTACTGGGTACTTTCTTCTGATAGCTCAAAGAGCAATGGGAAGTTATACCAAAAAAAAGGAATTTATTTACAGAATTTATAATCCCATGTGTTTCTTCTGTATATTCAGCAATAGCATTAAAAACACACTCACAACATTTTGGTGAAAACACGTTGTTTAAATTTTGACTTTTTTGTTGAAAAAGCCTACATCCATTTCAGATTGCATTCTTACGTCGCGACAGACAAAATAAGCATTATGAGTGTCTCTAGTTGACAGACATATATTTTGATTTCAGACAGATGAACTGTATTAATTTTCCATTGACTACACCTTGGAGTTCTCCCAAATATTTGGTGCGACTCGGGGAAAGCCAGTCCGAAAACAGATGTACTTATAACAGCTAATGTGAAACCAACAATTTCAAGATGCGACAGAGAAATGGGAGAAGAAGGTTCGGAGAACTTGGGCGGGAAAACGATGATCTGGCCTACTAGCACCGCGTCTTGATTTGATATCCTGGCTCAGTGCCAGTGAGGGACCTGATCCCTTGGCAAAAAAAAAATAAACAGAAAAGACAGTTTGACCGATAATTTGGCAACTCAAACTGACAAGTCAATCCTACTACTGGAAGGCAACCGATCCTTAAACAGTTGCTTGATATGAGTAGGAAAACAACTGTTTTTTTAACGGTGCTTTTAGGAGAATTTTTTTTCTAACGACAAGGGATATAACAAGCTTGACTGGCAATAAGGAAATGAAAAGTGAGCACCTCGGGAAATTAAGCTTGGTGTGACAGGGGTTCCTGGCAGTAAGTCTCCAACAAATTTTTAACCTTTTTACCAGACAGAATTTTAGACGCTAGCTTTTTTTGACATTTGCTGGCGGAGTAACTGTCTGGAAAAGTGCCAAGGGGGAGGATTAGGAAGACACTTTCGATGCATGGGAAAGGAGCGAAATCACTCGTGGGAGGGGAAACTATTGAATTACACCTGTAGTCATGAATTGCTTTGGCAGACAAATTAATCCCGGCCGTGGGATTGACTTTTTGTGATGCATTAATGTCCCTCGATCATGAAAGGATATCACCGTCGGGAAACTGCACCAGGAAATCATTTGCTGTTTAAAAGTGGTGAGTGAACTTCGCAAGTGTTTCTGTCCTATGTTGGATGGACAATCTGCTTTGAGAATTTTTTTCTCACTATTAAAGACTGGTGCACAGTTGTAAAATATTGAATGTTGTTTAGTGTTGTATCTGATCATTCAGGCCCTTGAATATCACAAGTGGTGTTGCAATTAAGAGAAAGTGTAAGTTGGAACATACTTCATGTCCTATCTTTTACACCAACGGTGGAAACTTATGCACAGATTCTTTTGGCTTACGAATTACTCCAAGGAATTTGAAAGATTTGGTTTTTGAAGAGTCAATAGACACGATCGAGTCATATGCTCAAATGAGCTGTAAATACATTAAGGTGTTGATGCTTAGGGTTTGGATGTACAAGGTATCGATGAGCATTTATATACCTGGATTGCTCTCATTCAGTCTCTTCAGCTGCTGGATGCGGGACCGGACCCCAGGCTTGCGGAAGATGCCCACCGCATCGCCGGAGGTCCGGCGGAGGAATCGCATCGCGTACAGGATGCTCTGGGGCAGCGGCAGGCCCGTGGTCTGGAGGATGTGCAGCAGGGGAACGCCGAAGATGTTGCGATCCTTGAAGTCAGGGCTCTTGATTCGCTTCATGAAGCGGGGCATCATCCTAAAAAGAGATGCAAGATTGCAGGTTTCAAGGATCAAATTTCAGGTCGACTGGGAGTATGCTGAAAGGCAGGTACCATAACAAACAAGACTAGTTTGCCGAGTTGAGCTCGACTCAAAAGTTCGACAGCAGTTTAGGACATTATTTACACTCTTTGACTCTTTGTCAAAGGGAAGGTTAAACGTCTGGTGAAATATAACAAAATTCACGTTACATTCCCTTACCAGCTCCATCCACTTCTGTGTGTGACTGAATGCCTCTCCATCAACGACGTTAGCTTGAGGAGCGACAACTTGCGTAGGATCAGCAACTGGCTTACCGAAAGACCCGAGATTTGAAATGGCCTGGAAACAATACACAGAAAAGAGAATAAATGTTATTCTGCTTTGTAAAGGTGGTACAGAAATTGTCCTGATGATGACATGGACCCCATTTAAAAAAACAATCTGGCAATCTTAGACATACTGCAAGGTAGTGATGTTGGATTGTCTACCTTTATTTTCATGACAAACTCTGAATGCGGTTGGTTTATGTACATGCCAAAACCTACATGTATCCATGCGAAAGTAATTTACAGCAGTAAAACGCAACCTTCATTTAATAGACCTTTTTGTGCCAAGGAAACCTTATTTCTTTTTGAGCTCAGTAGACTAGGTGGTCATGGGCACCAAGGCATGGTCGTAAATAATTGAAACTGTTTCTGAGAGAGGTCTGACAACTATGGACCAACATGTAGCTCAGTGTTTGAGCTTGCAAAGAGTCAGCAAACACAGCGCTTAAATGAAATAAAATTCAATTCCAAATAAAAGTTTCACTCAGAACAAGTTGAAAGTCCCAGGGTAGACAATATAAACAAAATGACCCTTGCGATTACTACATGCTGACTGTTTGTAAATTGTTGATGTATTCCTGGTCCCAAGTGCAAATTCCCTTATTCCCCGATCGACAATAAAAAAAAAATAAAAAAAACGCTTGGTGGAGAAAGATTTTTCCCTGCACTGAGTCAGACAGGTTTGAATGAGTCAGTCCATTTGCTTCAATAATTGTTCCCCATTGGGTATAAAATACAATTTTGTCACAAATACAGCGCTCCAAAAGCCGCGAGGTTAAGAGTCCCATGTGAGAATCGCTGCACAGAAACTTTGAGAGCCAGAATATGGAGCTACCCATTTCACTTGCCAGGTTTTTGAGCTGCAATTAAAAGTCTGCAAACTAATGAAAAAGGCCTGCATTATCTGACATGTACTTCTGTATGGCTCTGTGTTTCTTGAGAAAACAAAAAAATATCTACTTGTATACAGACTTGTTAGCAATATTTGATTTCAACCTCCCCCCCCCAATAAACTTCCAATCCAAGGGGTCTGAAGTCAAACATTTCCAACTATACTATAAATATTGGCTCAAAGAACACTAATTCATGTGAAAGAGTACCGGCTGTATCAACCTTTGTACTTTTCTTAAAAACCATGGACCTGCTAGTAGTAAAAGCTCTATGAATATAAAACAGTGTATTTTCATGCCCCGAGACCTTCACTGTCAGTCCAAGCGTATTGCTTTGGATCTATTACAACATAAATTACAGAAGCGAGCAAAAGTGTAACACTTTGAGAAATGGGAGTGTGTGTGTTGGAAAAAGGAGACTTTAGACCTATCTGAAAAAGAAAACTCATATTTGGGAACTAAGCCATCAAATTACGGGGAAGGCAGCTTCGTAATGGTGCACAGCAATCAATGCTGTTTGAGAAGCTTTAAGTGCATCTTCTCACACAATCCTGGATGATGAGAGTCCACGTCTTCTAGTCTGGCTTAGGGACTTACCTCGAGTTCAGACTCGGCCTGTGAGACTTCTGGAAACTGTGCCATCTGATTCTTGGCCTCTTACCACTGTAAAAACAGACGGAAAAATAAGAAAGATATACACGGTAAGCCATCAGAGTCGTTAAAAAAAAATCGATCCAGCGTTGACCTTTCACTAGCCGTAAAAGAAGCGCATCGTTGAAACGGCACAATTGGTATCCATTAGTAAATATCACAAAGGATTTTTCCCGTAATGAAAAGTACCAATTTTAGCTTGATTTATTTTCCTGTTTTCAACCGTTTTATCGGTCCTGATGCCCAAACATGGCACTGTCGTAGGCACGTGCACTTAAGAATCGCCCACGGAACATTTGCACATGTCAGACGTATTAAGATTGATGGCATTCTTTGTCACTGTTCAAAATGCCGCGGATGAGTCACGCTTAATGTGATATTCTCTAAATGTGAACCGAACAGTCGGCTCTGATGATACCGTCTGACAATTTATGTCCCGGCTTGGTAATAACATAAAGTATGTATCTTCACACCAATTCTGACAACAACCTCTAAAATTGCTAAGTTGTACAGCACGTGTCGGATGCTGACAAATTTAGAAGGCAAAGTTGGTGTTAGGACAGTCTGGCCTGGTAAAAAAAATCGAATTAATATTTTTTTTAAAATCCTGGCTTAAAAAACCTCAAATTAAAAGGATATCAGACTGAAGAAAAGAATGCATAATGGCCAAGTCCTGATATTTAAGTTGTCAAACACATGCTTGCTGCCCCCAAAAAATCCATTTAATGCTTGTGTATTGTGGCAGGAAATGGTATTTTTTATATAAATTTATTTTGTTTGTTCATTTCGTCTTTTAATAATAGTATTTTTATTTTTGTATCAAAATTCATTAAAACTATGTAGTGTCTCATTGGAAAGATCATAAATTTATATCACGCACAGAAAATTTGTGTTTAAAACCTGCCGCAGTAAAGAGAAAGTATCAATTGCAAAAATAGGGCATACATTGTACAAAAAAATTGAGTTACTGCAAAAGGCATCACTGATCATGCTTAACATAATGAAGTTGGTGCCTCTTATTCTGGCGCAAGGCACGGTTGGCAATGCCAAATCCGCCTGACTGTAATGACTGTAATGACTCAGGCGACAAAATGACCAAGCACTGACAGAGTGGCTTTTCTCTATCCTAAAGAACAGCAAGGAACGGACTGTATCCACGCAACCCCACTGGCTGAGAATTTATCTTGGTTACTGATTGATGCGTCGGGCTTGCTGACAAGATGAAGGATGTGCACGAATGGCACGTGCTATTATTTATTACACACACTAAAAAGCCCCGCCAATGCATGCCGCGATAATGAATGCATCCATTAAGACATTACAGACTAATGAAGATATAATCTGACACTGCATCACGTAATGGGAGACATCTGATATTTCACAGTACAAGGGAATCTTCAAAACTGCTGTTAGTGCAATTGGTGCGTGGATTTGCAAGTTTTATAAAATATGGACATTTTTTCAGCACACTTCCTTTAGCGCAACACCCAAAACTTTCCCAATCAGTGAGAACATATGTGTAACTAGAAAGTCCGTTGAACTAACCAAATCTCTTGTAAGATCGCAAAGTAATAACACCGACCAAAAGACAAATCTGTACAACCTTGAATCCTGGATCCGGATGAGATCCTGGGAATAGTGACGCATGGTTTGCGCCTGGCAAAATCCCAACTCAAATGGACAAGTCTTGACCTCCCCAAGCACTAGCGTCTCTTCTAACACACACAACAAACTGTTAGCTTATTTGTTTAATTTTTCATGTCCATTATCACTGACTTAACATCTCTCTTCCTTCTGTGTACTTCTGAAGTCAACAACCTCACTCTGTTGTTTTTCCTTCCAGTGATGCAAGGTGTACCCTCGCACAAACCCGGACGTGCCTTCTACAAATCATCCTACTGTGCTCATAAGTGAACCGAAAGTGACTTTATTGTTATTTTTCCCACATCCATTATCGGATTTGAAGTGTTTCTTCCTTCGCCAGTCAATGACCATCTACCACTGCTGTAGGTCCACACTGAACAGACCAGAGGGAATCCGCAATTGAAGACATAAAACCAACACACCGGTGGTTGTTTTTGTTTGTTCTAAACCTCCATTAGTGGATTTTACTAGTGACTGTCCACAGTCAATGACCAGCTCCGATGTTTTGTCCAGGAAAGCAAAGAGGTTATTGACGGTCAGTTAAATTTTTCCCTCAAAAGAAAGGACATTTCTGTACTGAGTCATTCGTGTGGACCTTGGGAATGTCACCTGGCCAGACCACCTTGAATTAATGAGTGGACATCAAAAATGACCACAGATGACTGGAAAGAACATGAAGTGTGATGCAAGCAAGTCATTCTGCAGATATTTGAGGGAACCCCTATCAAAACTGTCAAAACAATGACTAATGGGCTACCAGAGTGGACTGAGAAACATGAATACCCAGTATTAAAGGATTCCCTGATACTGTGATAAGATACAATAGAAGAGTACACACTCAACAGGAAACGCTTGACAGAGTCAAACCTGTCACTTCCTGTGTTTTTGGTACTGACAAGTGACAACAGTTTATGCATCCACTAGGAAAACCTGTTTTGACAGCTCTTCATCCTGAGAAAAAAAACTTCCACTGCCTTTCCACTGATTCAACAAAAGTAGGAACAAACTGAGCATCAATATGTACTTTTGACAAAAAGGACTGATATGTAGGAAGTTTTTAAAAAGTGGCTAGACATTTACTAAAATAGTTTAAGTAATATAGTTTTACAAAAATAGAAGGAAAAAGGAAGAAACAAACAACGTCATCTGACAAAACATCTTTAATCAACCTTATTGTTTTCTTTCTTTCAAAATAAAGCAAGTGGATTTGTTTACACTATCAGTCTCCTTAAAAAGAACCAGAACACACACGATAATACCCACAATCTGGCTGTATTTTGCACAACTTTCTTTTCTTAATTTAGTCTATTGTTTATTATGGTCTCTCGATGAGAAAGTCTCCAAATAGCGCCGTTGTTTGTGCAATTTGCGCCTTAGTTTCATTTTGTTTACAGTCTTTCTTGCCTTGCTCGTTAGAGCAGTGACTGCTGAAAATAAACAGCCTTGGAGATGGCTGGATTTTTTTGGAGTGGAGGGGGGATTTCCTGTGGTTTAGGCCTTGCTGAGAAATGAGCTGGAATTGATGTGCTTGTCATAATATACACAATGAGTGGGCCTGTGTGTGGTTGTTATGCAATTGTGTGGCACATGATGACTCATTGGATTGTAAAAAGTAAACATGTGGGATGTTCCAAGGATATGAACAAAGCAGGGGGGTGTTGGTGGTTATTGACAGAGGAAATCTGTCCCCTCCACTCCTGAATGGTGGATTGCCTCCCTTATGAGATGGTACATTCCATCACTTGTTTCATTCAGGAAAAATGTCAAAATAAATTGCATCTTCACAAAACTGCTCACTTTTTCCTTTTTTTGTTTTGTTTAAATACATCTCTGTTTAATGTCAAGAGATATACATGAAATATTTGGAACTATTTTGTGCATATTTTGTAATAACTATTGATTATTTTGAGTTTCCTTAATATTGCAATTCTTCAATGCTTTACAATGTGTATATTAAGGGCTATTTCTATTTGCATATTGGGATTGAATTGTTAACTGCACTGAAATAACTGAATTGAATTCAAGTTGATGCCTTTATTTACATGAATATTACATTTTTTTTTCAATTAAAAGTACAATTTCTGCAACACGTAAGTGAAGGAGTTTTACAGATAAGTTGACGCAAAAGGAAACGAAAACGTTCATTTATTGTAAACAAGAAAAGAAAAAAATATACACAGAGGAGTAGGTTTCATAACTTTGTTTCTGCTTTTTACATCACAGGTCAGTTCAGGGCACAGACCTCAGTGTGGTCAAGGGAGATTCATTCTACAGACCCGGTGCTCTTGGCAATGATTAATAGCATCATCGGACAGTGAGGTTAGCTTCACTAAAAAACAAAAAGAACTGAGGAGGATACAAATCACAAAAAGCCAAAACCGTGGGGCAGGCCGGCTGCATTTTTCAGGTCATCGACCTTGATGGCTCCTAATAAATTGTGCACTCAGACTCGGAAGATTTCACAAAAAAATACAATTCCCTATTAAGCTTAAGATCTAGTATTCAAGCCAAAATGCAAATATTTGTAATTGCTGGATAAATCCCTTCGATAAATAGCTTCATTGAAAACTCCCCTGGTGACTGGAATACACGTTGGTTTTCACTGTATGAAGAATGGATTAGGATCATGCATGTGTATACTGCAGTATCTATGGGGGATGTACACAAAGTGTTGGAAACATAAATACAATTATTGCCATAAGAAACCAGTTCTGATGAAAGGCTTTTCTAAGAATATTCAGTGATGTATGTGTACAAACATTTAGATGCATTACGTGTACACATCAAGTGTGCGTAACCGATGACCTGCTTTATGCTGCCCTATATTGAATCGTTAAACTCTTTAACTTGAAAGACATTTTTCCTGAGAACCGAAATTCAATAAAATTCACTACCGTGTAGAAAATCAATGGCATGTTATGCAATGTTCCTCAACTTACAGAGAATCAAGAGAGAATCAAGCCTATGATGAGTACTATTGACTGCCATGACTGGCACTACCTTCTTTAATCCTTCAACATCCACCAGAACTCCTTGGTGGATTTGAAGGCAGCCTCCCACTCACAGATCTTTCAAAATCCGCCCGAGGGTTTCGGAGGATATTTAACGATTGAGAAAGGTATAATCCATCCACTTTATATTTAAAACCTTGAAAGTTAACCGTGTACGAAGAATGTGCCATTAGTTTCTTGCAAATTGAAGTATTTTGGAGAGAATTCAGGAAGGCTCCAAGCAAGGGAGTTAGGTTTCATGGTTTTTGGTTTATGACTTGGCGGCTTACCTGCTACTAGGACGAGTGAGCGAGTTGCCCACGCCAGAATCCCTCCTTTCCCTCATGCCGGTAGCCATATTGGTCATATCCAAACTGTCCTCAGTGGATCCCGTCGTGGTATCGCCCTCGCTTGTCGACGTCACGGCAATGCTGGTAGGGGTGGGTGCAGGCTGATCTGGTCTGGTCTCCTGACTGCCGGATAGCGCACCAAACACGAGGTCCTTTTGGGAGCCAGACTGGGTCAGTAGGGGTGAGGGTAGAGGCGAGGGGAGCGGGGAGGTAAAGTTGGACGAGACGGGAGAGTAGACCGGTGACGAGACTTGGGAGTGGGAAGAGGCTGAAGACAGACTGCCCTCATCTGAACACGAAGAAGAAAAAGGACCACATCAATTCAAAAACGAATTTCAAGACACTATTTGGATTAAGAATCTACGTGATTTACCTAATTATACATATCAAGAGGTTTGAAGTTCAACACTTGTCTTGTACTCAAAGGAAACAAACAAAGGTACTGATCAATCACCCTCCTTTGTAGTTCATAAAAAAGCTGGTACATTTATTTTTCCAATGTACGTGATTTGGTCAGCAAGTTAAGAGATATTTTTTACAATTGTGGTGGGAAAACTATTTTCACTTCACTTTTCAAACCACAGGAAAGACCAAAGACAAGTGGGAAAGGCCACTGTAAATTCAATGACCGGTAGTTTAAAAGGCCACAGGATGTGCTATTCAGCAAAGACTGGAAATGTGTAACCACAACTCCCACTATGGATCCTGATCAATACAGCCCTGATGGTTTCTTTGTAACAGCACGGATTAAAATGCTTCAATGAATTGAAAATGGCTGGCATTGAACTCTTCTTCGTCTGGAAAAAAAAGTTTGGCGGGAACCCAGCATTTTCCAAATACGCGGCAAGTGAGGTTGGAGCCAAATATAAATGCGCTGGACATATGAAACTGTGGGTAGAAGGTTAAAGCTTGATGGATTTTCAGTCTGGTTGGCATCTGAACAGCAAGTAATCTGGTCTGAAAATCCAACCCACTGACAAAGTCAGTACACACAGCGCGAATGCTTACATGCAAATGTTACAAACTTTCCCTTGCAGAAGAATTTTGTGGAAGATAAACCACAATATATAAACAAATGCATACCTTTGTAATATTTTTAAAGTGATTTCTAACATCAATTGTTCCGATATTGAAGGGCACCAATCCGCCTCAACAATGCAATTCAAATCCAAGATAATTGCAATTCCTAAGGTAATTTGTGACTCTAGCTTTTAATTAGTACTGGCCAAAAAGTTGCCCTTGTTCTCAACCATTATACAAAGGCCAAATCCGACACCTCGAGAAGTTCCAGTTATCCCTCTTTGTTGAGGAACAGCAGGATGTCAAATATTTTCACAAAAGCAACTATTGTCAAAACAGGTTCCCTGCCTTAGGCATCTAAAAGATTTCATGCATTTTTTTTTTATCACATGGTCAACTAACAGTCCTGGCATACATGTACTGACCTCTATTTCATGGGTCAAGGTGGCGTCCATATATCATGGGCATTTTGGGGCAAGCTTGGTGGGCATAACTATTGAGAAAGTCCATGCATTGACCAGAGCAGTTCAAGATCATGCACAGTATTACTTGTATTGTAATGTGAAGAATTGACATATTTATGTGCAACTTACACTTTTCAGGCAAGTGCCAACTGTGCTTCATCTACTACCACAAAAAATGGATCAAAAGTTTGAAGACCTAATAGACAAAATTAGACTCAAACCCTGACAAACAAACAACTCAGGGGCTACTGCAATTCAACTTTGATGAGAACATTTTCATTTAAGATCAACGATTATATAGCTTCACTCACCCCTTCTTAAGTTTTCTTGCATCTCATGCAAACTCTGGTTGATCCCGTTGAGCAGTTTCTCCAACTCGGTGTTGATGCCGTCAAGTTCCGGGTCGGCACCTTCAAACCTGGTCACATTCTGCACCTGCATGCTGCACGGTCGCGTGTCCGGCAGACTGTTGCTGCGCGTCCTCTTGCGCATGACTGGAACCGTCAGGTGGTCGTCGTCCAGGTTCTTCTCGGCGATGAGCAGCTGCGTGATGTTGGTAAGGATGTCCTGCTTCTCGGTCTCAAAGTGAGTCCTGGAGACGGAGGACTGGCTGCGGTGGTGCGGGCGGGATGTCCCATCGGTGGCAGGGGTCAACATTGAGGCAAACGGTTGCGGTTGGTTTGACGCTACCGCCGATGGCTCCGTTCCAATGTTCTTCAGATTGTAGATCTGCCTTAGGAATTCGCACTCTGCAATTGCGATCTGGGTGCTGGAGCCACTATGCTCTCCACTGGAATGCATTGTCCTGGGGATGTTATCGTAGACGCTATTGGTCCAAGGAGAAGCCGTCTGTGCCTGTTTAGGCAATAGCAGCTCCTCGCTGGAGCTCCAAGGAGCACCTTTGTCCTGGCAAGATTGGCACTGGCAGCTGACCGTTCCGCAACAACTCAACTTCCTCTCAAGTGTTCCTGGCGAGGAGGCGGGCGAAATGTCCAACTCTGAAGACTTATCAGGGCTGAGAACAAACTCCCTGTCCCCCTCGTCGTTGTTATTTCGGACATCCGATAGGGTCAGTTTCTTAGTGATCATGGTCATGTGGGCTTCTTCCAGTTCCCTATAGAAATGCCTGTCAATCTTCCTGCTCAACATGGGAGAGCTGGGTTCGGAGAACACTCGCCCTTTTCTCTTCTCAGAGTTTTTCTTTTCCGCTGTGGTTGCCCTCCTGCGCATCGGGGGTGGCGTGAGAGGCGTGAAGCGCGGTGAGGTTGACTTGGCTCGCCTTGCCTCGTCCAAGTCTACACAGTTGAAGAGCTCTATCTTCCGCTTCATTGCTCCCTGGTCATTCGCGATGGGTTCACTGATTACAAGTGCCTCCTTGGGTTCCTTCCCTCGTTTGCTTCCCCGCAGGCTAGATCCACGCTTCAGCTTCAAGCTGTCTAACCGCTTTAAGAAGTTCTTGGCTCCTTTCATCCGGTCCTTGGAGCCTTGTTCTTCCTCGGGTGTCTTTCTCTTCACCGTTACCGGTGAGGAGATCTCAATGATGGCATTTCGTGGTCCATCCTCCCCCAAGGACAGCATGGCTGGTGGAGACTGGGGTGGAGTCCTTCGAGTCGGGCTCAAGCTTCGGTTGCCCAACGAGGTTGAGCAGGTGATCTCGTTAGGGCTCTGCCGCTTACCCCTGCTGCGGTAGCTCTTGTGGATGACGGCAGGACTGTCAAAGCTGCTGGCGCTGGTGTAACCCTCGTTGTCGGTGGTCACCAGACTGTCCCGGCTGCTACTGTCTAGCCTTGTGGCCGGCGTGTGGGTGAGGGTCGGGGAACCCTCAGCAGAATTTGATCCTACGGTGTCAGGGGAAAGTGGTGGATATTCGTCGTCGGTCATGCGGCGGGACCACCGCCGGCTGCTACGAGTATATTTCCACTTGTTGCTGATTGCACATTGATCCTCTTCATCCGAATCATCACCCTTGAGAGAAAAGAATATAAATGAGGGGAATTTGAATATTAATCTGCATTGATTCCATAAACAAAGTTTGAAATTCATAATACACGGTTCTAGTTCAAGGGAAGTTTGTTCAAGGAAAGTCACTGTTTATGTTTCACATTATGTCCACATCAACATTTTTTACAACCTGCAAACCTAAGTAAATAACAGAATACAAAGTCAGCAAGATCAATCCATCCTTAGATTCAAGAAATGCTTTACATCATGAAATATGAGAAAGCATGAGAACTCATTCCTCTAAAGGTCAAGTCTTAAGATAAACAGAAAAAACACCTCAAGAATTTATTTCAGAAAAACATACTGATATCGATAGCAGGAGGACAACTTGAAATAGCATACGTCACAAAGTACGACTAAACCGCAAAATCTACACAGTCAAGGGTGGGACAAAAGCCATTCCACCCTAGCATACGTGGATCATATCAAGCTAACCTCAGAAAACAAACATGATAAAACCAACATGTAAAGCACTCCACGAACTTGCGAAAAAATATTCCGCCTCTATTGTACAGAGGCCGGGTAACCTCACAATTCAGGAGTGTTTTGAACCGCAAAGTTTACCGAGAGATAATCCGGGAATGTCCAGAGCCTAGACCTGGAAACCGTTTATAACTGCAAAGCGATAAACAAGGGACCTTGGAAGAACTGAAGTGTTGTTATCGATATACCAATGGCCTCAACAATTTATTGGCACAATATAAAATGAACCCTGGTTATCATTTTACTCTCGTGAAATTTTAGCCATGTCCGTTCTTCTCAGAAGACTTCAACTAGCCTTCCACATTTTTCAAGAAAAGAATTAACAGTTGAAGAATGCTGTAGATGATTAAGTGACATGCAACCTTGCGCATTGATGCTGTTTTCCTTTACCTGGTGTAAAAATTTAATAGGCAATAAACAAGCCTCCAACGAGATTCATGTCTTGTTTCTTAGAACGAAACTAGCAATTGACATGTTATTACTGACATGTCCGGAATACGGATGCCCTGCATACATAACCTAGGCCTGACTCACTGTGTGTTGGCTGGACACACATCTATCTGTAGATGGTTAGTAAGTTAATAAAAAAAAATAAGAGATAGCTCACTTACAAAATAAACATCATATTTCTCATTTCTACCTTAGATTTCTAATGCTCGCCCAAAGCATTTAAATATAAATTTGGCCAAGATCTACCACGATATCAATTTTTTAAATGCCAACCAAAAACAGCTGCGAGGAAATCCAGTACTAATATCATCAGGGGGAAATGTTTAGATTAAAGGTTGAAAATTGTTTATCCAACAGCATCCCGTATCTCAGAGTAAAATATGCTCAGAGTAAAATATGTTGAAAAAAAGTATCAAGGGCACGCTGTTGATGAAAGTATTCCAAGCAATAACAAACACTGGTCGGTTATCGCATTCCTCTCAGGCTGCGTATCTTTTTGGTTTTTCTAGCAGGCTTGGAAACCCAAACACAGGGGGCAGATAATCTCTTGTGCTTGGACCTTGCTCCGAGGCAATTAGGAAAAATGAAATGATCGGTTTGCCGACAGCGAAGTGAATGATTTACAGTGGAGGCAGGCACATCCTGCGTTCGGGTTCATTTTCTCATCATTGGATGGTGCTCGAGTTGTTTTTAATTTTTGACAGATTTATATTTGAGGCTAAATATAGAATTTCAACCAAATAACAATATTGATTTGTAATTTCAAAACAACAGAGTAAGCATTCATAAATAATTTGGGATGATGTAATTTTCACCTTGGCATGAAAAACAAAATTCCTTTGATTAATATTTTTAAAAGCTGTGAGCGGTGTTTTTTTTCGCATATTAGAGTAAACCAATTTTTTCCCCTTCAAAATGCATATTCAGGATGCAGAAAGATTTCTATATTAAGGCCTTATAAATTAATATAAAAATAAAAAGTAAAGCTGCATCTTTTCCTGTGGCTTGCAATTTTGTGTTAATCACACAACTTCAACACAACCCCCACCGACAGAGAGAAGCTTTGTGTTTCATCTGTCAATATGCTCTGGTCACAAGTGTTACAAAGTATTTACAATTACGACAGTTACACAAATGTTGTTGGCTTCAATTGCTTTTCTGACAGATGTCCTAAAACTGGCATGAAAACCGAGAATGAAGAGCACACCAGATAGGCCTTATCTTGTCGACTATTTGCTAGAATTGTAAAAAACCCTGGATAATGTGTCAGTGACACTCTACAAACCCTCCATAAAACTTTAGGTGGCAGAACAAGAGTTATTATACCTGAACCAGAAATGAAAATGAGGACAGTAGGGCAAGGGTTAGCTGAGTTTATTATGGATGGGTGGTATATTAGGTTTGGACACCTCAGCAGGGGAAGCAGTAATGACTTCCTGTTATATCAGTCAAGGTTTATATGGTGGTGTTGTGTTTTGTGGTTGATGAAGTCATGCTATCCAGGGGGTAGGAAAAGTTCTGTGAGGTGGTGGGTTGGGGAGATGGGACCCATGACCAATTTCATGGCTCTGCTAACCACAGGACTTCGCATGGAGCTGTAAAACGGTTACCATTCTGAGCCAACAGCTCAAACACAGAAATTCTCTGCAACGCCCGGGGGCATGAACCCTTTGCTACAGGGTTTTATGAGCGCAAGCTTAAATGACTCGCTATTCCTACCTTGATAATTATCAAAGATTCTGTACTTAAGAAGCTTAAGACCATGTACATGTAAACCAGTAGCCAAGACAACCTCTGTACGTATTCAATATGCGGCTTGGTCAAATTAACAGTACAACAAAATGTAACGTGAGATTATTAGTGATTAACTTCCAGATTAACATAAATTTCTGTACATGTCAGTTGTGAGCTGTGAGTTGACCTCACATACAATGTATACATGATGTATCAGTCAACAGCAAGGTTGTAACATGGTTGAACAAGTGGACATATTTCTTCTCCTTGTGTGGTAACTCAATCCATTTTCAATTTTTTTGTCTGCTTGCTCTGTAAGTGGAAGCCTTCACTACAACTCTCCCGACCACCGTCAGCTCCCATGCCTGGTCGCCATAGGTGGCAAGAGGCCCTTTTGGTTCCCGTTGGTTAGATCATAACGGGACACCCTCACACAAATGATTACCAGGGATAATGGGGAGTGTTTGACTCCCGCCGATGGCCCAACCGGGCCACAGCGTGGTGCACAGTTCACCAGGGTCAAAGTCATAATTTTTGCCTCCTCCGGGCTGGCTCGAGCATGGTGAGGACACACTGTATTGCAGAGTGCCGATCGCACCAAATCAGGTTCTTAAGGGGCTTTAAAGTTCATCGGCCGTATAAGCCCAATGAACGGTCCCAATAATGCACAATGACATATTTTTTTGACTGCGAGAACCTTTGTGTTTGGAAGTTGTACAAAAAAAAGCAATACACTGGCTTCAGTGGTTATTCTGGGGGAGTGATTTTGTGGGGTTTTTTTTGGATCTGCATATGAACGAAGTCAGAGAATTCCAAATTAATGTCAAGGGGCACTGCTTGTTTCAAATTCTGATGGCAAATTCCAATTATCTCAAAATTCAATGCTGTTTTTTTTCTGTAATTGGATACTTTTTCAACGTATTTAATAGAAGTCTTGAGAGGCTTCATACGCAATGCCATGAAAGTGCAATCAGCCTAATTGATCTGACGTCTGTAATAATGTGACTTCTGGATGTTAAATTCAACTATTTGTAGTGTACTCCCAAGGTTTAAATGCACAGTACTCATACTTGCAAATCTGCGAGTACGCTGTTCACCTCTGGCACTGACTAAATGACTTCGAGCGGTCTACTGAAAGAGTTGGTTTCACGAACCATGCCGCACAAGAGTCACTTCAATTGAAGCCCAGGATCTCAAGTTCTGCACCCTTTCTCCATTCTAATCGAGGGGACTGTACTCCACACGGCCCCCATTGCCTAACAATTCAGTAAACAGAACACAATGTAATATTGCACTGGCAGCCCGTATTTTATCACTGCTAATGGCGTTGGGAATCTGCGTTGAATTGGAGTAAAGGTGTGCGCTGTGCTAGACATTGTGTCTAGCTTGCCTTTCAGAGTTTCATGAGTTGGGGAGTCAAGAGCCTGATAATGCTATGGCCATTGGCACTGTAATGTCTCCCACTGTTTGCTAGTCCACAGTGTTTGCCCATGCCAAGGGTCCTTGACTATTCCTCAGCAAATGCAGCTGCATACATTGTACATATTAAGCCCAGCCTGTGCTCAAACTACATGTATCCCTTGGCCACTGTATACATATATTACAAACATATAAGGTAGATGACTAAAAACATCAAATACACTGCCGGATGAACGCTGTACCTAAAATATCCTCAAGTTTCAAAAGCACATCTCATCTGTATTACAGAATGCAAAAAAAGTATACCTTCATTTACATTTAAAACATAATTGTCCCAAATGCAAAATCTGTACACAATTTAACTTTGCCCTGATGAAAGTTGAGAGTTTTAAATACATGTATTTCACTGTCCCAATGATTTTTGCAAGAAGTGAAATATCATCTTCAAGTTAAAACTATTACATTTGAAGTTTTCAATTGGAAGCTTTTAATTTTGAAGGACTCAAAAAGGGCATGAATGTCTTAAGAAAGGCAACGACAGCCAATGTAACATACCTGACACTTCATCACCAACATGAACATTCATCAATAGATGCACATTCACAAGAACATTTAATTGGACATAATTACAGACAGCATCCAGCACGCCAATGTATTTAGTTATTTTGGTTCAATCTCACTTAATAATAAGCCAGTAAACCTACGCTCTTCTAATCTGTCAGGAGTCAGAACCACAGATTTGGTCTAATGACTACAGTAGCGATACCAGACTACAGACACTTCACATTTTTTGAATTCTCCCAGAAGGCAGGAAGCCTGTAGTTTCAGTTTCCAAGGAAGTTACGCATTACACAACACTGAATGTACACAGACACAAGGCCAACCTACATCGTGTACATGTACACTCACATCATCACCAGCCAATATTCTCCATGCTGTCTGCTCTATGTTTATACCACATGGAGGATTCAAAAGAAAATTTATACACCCAGTAAACTACTTTTCATCCATCACAACTTTTTTTTTTTTAGAGCATCAAGGCAAAACCCTACAAGTCAAAAGTAATTAAAAGCTCATTTAAAAAGAAAAATCAGTTTTGGAAGGCAAAACCTTTTCAAACTGTGTACAACAATTCTGAACAGACAACTTTGAAAATAGGCTTTCCTTGTGAAGTTGTGGAAGTGTGATAAACGATAGTGTGATAAAAATTGCCATTTCTTGATGTGGAACACACAACTTTAAACTTAAATCTGATGAAGACAACAAACACACATTACTATGATTCAAACTACTTCAAATCTTCTTCTTCAACCGTGTCAACTGAGCAAAAATAATTCAGACAAAATGGTGATCGATTTTGTGCGTGATTTTTTGTTACTTACAGATCTGTGCAGAGGAGCCTCAATCTTCATGCTGGAACATTTGTTGAGAATATGAAGCCTCCTGCAATCACAACCAGCAAAAAAAGTATATCCACAAGTTTAGAAAGCAGATCAGGCAAGATTAACTTAAAAACACTGAGCACTGATCACAAGAAGAATGTGAAGGATTTTTCTTCAGCAGATGAATCTCGTCTTCTTCAACTCTACGATGACTCCCACAGCACCTCTATACCACTACTATGGGCACTGGCACTACTCCGGCAATATCCCTGCTGTGTATTTTCTCCCCATCGTTGGACGTATAATGTGCACGGTGGTTGTGATTATGGTAATGAGCCACGCTAAGCCCCGCCTTCCTGCCGGCATCCTGTTTGCGGATTGGCCGGCTCTGCAAATCACCTACTGAGTTTATTTGCCCCCCAGGATTAAGCTCACAATAAACTGTGTGTAGAAGGTCCTGCCTTTGCAATGGTCACTCTGCATGAGGAATGGAATAGGGGAACCATACAGTGCCCTGGCCTGATGCATGAACTTTTGTTGATGATAAATACATGCACATAGCATGGAGAAATATCCTACAGATACAAGTTGAGGGTGCAGATACATACATGTACAGGTACATGCATGTACTTGTTTTTCCACACATTTATAGTTCTTAACATTGTGCATTGGTTTGCCAGGATTATTCTAATGACTTCCCGTGACTGGCTTGATAATTTTTAATGTCTCATCAACAATGAAGAAACCATCTTGGAAGAGCACTGCTTTTAAATTAAAACTTGCGGGACTTGATGATTTGAAAGAAGTTGTATTTCTAACAGCATCTGAGAAGAGCTTTTAGCTGATCAGGAACAGACAATGAGACACGTTAAATTGTAGATTTCTTTCTCCTGAAAATTGTCCTCTAAGTGAACACATGCATGATTGGGGATAAAGAGCACTCTAAAAATATCCTCAAGTTGTTCAATATTATCAACTGAGAAAGGGCAGAGGTAAACAACAGGGAGATAATGGATGGCAGCAGATAGGGAAGGACTGAGTGGGGTTTAAACATGGAGCTATAAAAAGGATTAAATAACCTTTTAAACCGTCTGTCTCTGCTCCCTGACATTTTAGTTGTCAGCAGAGTGAGTTTTCATCAACAACATTTGAAAGAGAAAACACCATGCTTACATGTACAGCCATTAATCTAATGCTCTTTGAACATCAAGGCCGTTTCAGTTTTAATAAGGGAATAAATGTGTGCTTGGCCAGTTTTAAACACTTTGTTTAAGACCGGTTTGGATTCTGGATGCTAATATTCCGCTCGGGTCATCATCAGTATCCAGACTCCAAACCCGTCTCAAATGTAGTGTTTAATACCAGCCAAGCACATATTTATTCCCATTCATAAATACCTTTTCGGTCAAACAGTCAAAACAAGTCAAAAATGACAAAATTTCCAACGATTTTGTTCAACATGGTTTACTTAATATTTTTTAAACAACCCTTTACTTATGGTATGTGCCTCTTGTGAGTAGTCGCAAACAACTCCTTATATGGAGATTGGTGTGCACATTGCACGTACTGCGCGATGTGGCGCAGAACGCAGCTGTGCGGTGTAGTATGAATTTAGGACTATGAAATACGGACCCGCGTGCCTAACCGAGGATTGTGAATGTGCAACCAATAATAAAGGGGTAAAAGGGAGCAAATTTCATAGGAGTCGAAATTTCATGTGACACTCAAGTGTTTAAGACCAGCCAGCCGGTGTTTTATCAACCATTTAAGACCAATAGGAATGGGTAAACTGTCTTAGGTATTTATGAATGTTCATTTACATACATGTATGTATTAATGGTAAGGGTTCCAACAAAGCGAGAAAATGCGATATCTCAACATGGCTGCGTCACATGACTGGCCGGTATCCAAGCCAGCCAGCAAGCCACAAAAGTGTCTGCCATTTCAAATGCATGGACCCAGACTGAGCCCTGGTAAAACGATTAGGCGTAATCTGATTGATTTCGATGATGAGCCCGCTCTTTGGAAATGATCTTCTTAGCCACGGATGACTAGGCATTGAATGTAGGGCAGGAGCCAGGGGTATATAATGAAAGTCAAAAAACGTACGTCACTGGCTTCTATATTTTTGCTGCTGATGATACCCAAGGCGGTTTGCGGTTTTGTTTTAAAACGCACATGTGTTTTCATACTCATTTTGATGACACATGATATTTTTGCCGGCGGTTTCTTTACACCAAATGAAAGACAAATTTCTGTGGGATATAATTTCCTTACATTTTTTACCTCAAGCCAGTAGTCTCTATTTTCAAATGCCAGCTAAATTTTTGAAATTCATATTAGGTGTCTGTCACAAATTTTATTTTAAGAAAGTGTGATTGTCCCCAAGGTATAGTTATTAAGATATGATGGTGTCGATCCGCAACTGATAAATGCATGGAAAATATCTAGCATCATTTATTAAGAAGATTAAAACTTGTTTTATAATTAATCAGGTTTAAAGAATAAACCCATGTACCAAAAAGGAAATTTACAAACAAACAAAAGTGGTGGATTTTTTGAAGGATTAAGAAGGTCCAACATCACTTAGGCGAGGAAAAGTTCCTGGCAAAACCAAATTTAAAGTTAATGTTTCATATCATATAAAAAAAGGCTTAGAATAGGAACTTCATAGCGTTCCAATAATCTGTCCGCTCTGAACTGATCCTTCCGTGGCTCAATTTTCCAGCAATCTTACCCTGCCGTCCGTAGTCCAGAGAGAATAAGGTGGGTGGGATGATTTAATAGAGATTTTTTTTACTAGAGCAAAAATAACTACATTTGAGGTATTCCTTACACCTTTTTCTGTCAGAAATTTTAATGTAACATTCTGGATTTTTTTTCCAGTTCGTGTGGTGAGAGGCATATCCTCGGGAAACCTCACTGAATCAAAACAATTCATTGGAATTTCAGAATCGTGGAAAATTGCGTCTTTAGGGATGGTACAAACGAGATTATGGCGGATTACTTCAAATGTCAGCCGGAAAACCTCGCTATAAAATACAGTTAGGTGTTGCTTCAAACAAGTTTCCTGTTGAGAAAATGTGCAGCGGAAGTAAGGACGGTAGCAACTTTTCCAACTATTTTATTTCTTGCACAGTGTTATTTGAGATCCTCTTAACTTTTCATTTTCAAAGGAGTGTTCCTGCTTGATCTCTCTGATCAGATTTCATCTTCCTCTGCACGTGTTTCAATATCCTTTAATTAATGCATGTTTTATATGAAAGTATGACTCAGTCTTCTATTTTTGATTTATCGTAAAAACAAAATTGAAGAATGAAAGGAAAACTTTCAAAGTAAATTGATTGATAGCTTTGGCTGAAAAGTTAATGGCCAACACGCATGAGTGGGTGGTAGCTACATGTAGTACACATTTCCTGTGTATCAAAACAGATGATACGACGATAACGATAAAAAAACCAAAAAAAACCCCGTAAAATTATGCAAATTGCGTGGACAGCAGATGGTTATTGTGACACCTAATCAATTAGAGCTTGTAGTTGATGATGAAATCATGAATGAAAACAGGAGAGGTCATATCAACGGGTGTAAAAAATCGACAAATGTGGGCGTAGCCAGCGGCTGGTGTTGACGCCAAGTATGATGACATCACAGGCTCCGTCCGAAAATTGTGAATGAGATTTTGCTCACAATTCAAATTATTTTGCCAATCTGTTGAATATTGGCTACACCTTCCTCTATGGTATTACGTATGCTTCCGGTCTATAATAATCTATTTGGGCACATCCTTCTACGTGTAATTATCCACAGATATTGTCTATAAATACCCTGTAGTTAACAATTTTATATACAACATATGGGGGCAGTTAATATTTGACAAAACCAACAGGAAACAGAGTGAAAATATTAATGCCTAGGATGTAATAAAAATTGGTCTTCAATAAATCACAATAATGTGACAGAACACACGCAGCAAACCACTCGGCATAAAACAAATGGAGAGCATGGCGTGGGCGTTTTAATATCCGGTGCTTTGTGTACAGATGGATCTTCCACGCGATTGGAAGTGATGAGTTTGAAAAAGTGATGTAAAATGTCTTCTTAAATTAGATCTCTTCACGTCACATGACTTTGTGTCGATTCTATTTTGGTTTTTCATCAGCGTTTCACTGGGGGAGGCAGGCGGAGGTTGTGTAGGGAGCCCTATAGGGGCTCAATGCGGCATATTGGGGGGGGGGGGGTTTGGGGGGGAGCAGTGCAGTTTTCATTTTCTTACAGGAAAACGTGAAAATCACTTAGGTTTCACTGGTCTCCAAACATTTTTTGTAAACAAGGAACAATTTAGGATGCTAGATAAATAATCTAACAATCTGCATGTATGAATCAACAAATGTCATCACCTTACTTACATGCATACGCTTACAGTATAAGTATGTTAAATTCGACAAAAATAATGTTAAGTATGAAACTTCATTGCTAGTTTCTGAGGTTTTGGAAAATAAAGACGACAATGAATACAGCCATATTTTTTTTTAAATGTAAGGGCTTTTCATTAAAAAGCTGGTGCTCTTTCATGATCTGAAAACCGATTATACTGATATTTTTCTTTTTTCTAAAATGAGGCAGGGAAAAGAAAATGTTTCCAAAGAAGCCACATGCGGATTTCTATACTTCCGACCCTGGTCTAGTTTCATTATTAAACATGTGAGAAAAATAACAATTGTCAATGCACCACACACAAACATCATTGCTGTCTTTTTTCCAAGTTCAACAATCATGTGCCTTCCCAGCAGGTCCATACAACACACGAGAAAAGAAAAAAAAAACGCTGTATGATTTCAACAAATTCAACACATTGTTAAACTGGGGTTTTGTCTGTTTAGTATGAATGGAGTTTATTTAGCAGACCCAGTTGGGTTCCCACTTCCCACAGAACAAACAGAGTGGAAAAGTGCTGCAAATGTAAACATTATAACATGAACATGTGTGCATGTGCAGACAATAGGGGCAGCACATTCACGTGTACATTTTCCCATATGAGCAATTTTGTGCATACACTTGGAATATAAAATGCGTAATGTGATCGCAATAAAACAGGAATGCAATACATGTTCTAATGTTGAAGTGCACTTCTTGCATGCGGAAACTAAAAAGGTTCTTGTGCGTCACTTTTTCAGGCTGAAGAATAAAATGCGCTAATTGACCTATCACGGTAGATTTGCGTTAGAATCGCATCAACACATCTTGTGAATATTGTCCAATTACACGATATACAAATGGACGCGGAACGCACAACATCTGAGACAAACAAAAACACTGTGGTGTCGGTGACGATATGGTAAAGATTTTTTTTCTAAATTGGAAGATTTTTACCTTGTGACCGCATCTAGCAGATCCTGATCCAGGAAATCGTGATCCCGCTCCACTGAAGAAATGTCTATCGGAAACATACATTCTGAGGAAATAAAAGAAACATTTGTCATAATCTCTTTCAAAATTCACAATTGCAAGAAAAGAGTCTTCATGTCTCAGTACGTTTTAATATAATGAGTAGAAAACTGAAATTGGAATATACCAAAGAAATATGCCATTTAGGAATGCCAAGTTGAATGCAGAAATATCAAAGACAAGTGCGTTGCACTTTTGCCAAACTGATATGCTACAGAAGACAGGAGTGGCAGGAAAATAATTACAGACACAGTCATATTAAGCAGAGTGTTGTAAACACGATACTACAACAGGATACACGTCATGCATGGCTGGTAGACGTTGAAGGCAACTGGATCCAGTTTAGTCGTAAACACCCAACCAAGTACCTTACAATTCCACTTGTTCAAAACAACTTACAGGTACAATAAAATGCCCTTGTATGACTCAAAGCCTGAGAGCAATTAGCATAAATTATAAAAACTAAAATTCAACGTGGACTTTGCGCACAATACCCCCTCAATGGTTGAAAGTGAGAGAGGCAAGCGGAACTCTCAGACGCGCGCACTGCCGCCGCATGCCTGGCGCTCATGTTAATGAGCTATTCCGGTTTGCACATGTTTAGAATGAAAGAAAATAGAAATGCGATATGTAGTATTAGTAATTATGAATCAGAAAAAAAAAACAAGAGTGCCTGTTACTCTCTGTACCGCCCAAAACTGTCCCAGCACTGTGTGGTCTAATGGATTCATCGGGATTATATAAAATGCAATACAATTGTCCTCCCAAATCGTACAGGTTGATGCTTTTAATATCATCAGGTATACCTACAGAATCATTCAAAATATATGAAAAAAAATTTTTTTAAAAGTAATTGTGTTCTACTTGTGAAAATGATAAACACTGCAAAAAAGAAAGTCCACACTCATTGGAGGGGTCATAATTTTGAATCTGATCATCTTATGATAATGTCATTTATATATACCTAGGGAATTTCGATAGCCCGTTTGCTAACCAAGACTGTAAATCGTCCAATATTGACAAGGTTTACGAAATATGATGCAGTTTGAAAAGTTGCAAAATGCAAATTTAAAGAGTTTGCGAGTGCAAATTGCTGTGTGACAATGTCACATTTCCCAAAACGAACGGCAGGGAATACCGATCGCATGCATGGAAGCAGGCGTATTGAATTACCTGCACTTTGTTCGGGCACTGTGAAGTCGATAGGGGTCAATTATGGGCATGCGTGGCTACACTTAGCAATTTTTCCTCACGTAATCTTAACATTTTCAACTTTTCAAACTGCATCATTTTTCATAAACCATTGTCAATCTTGGGACGATTTACAGTCTTTGGTAGCAAACAGTAACCAGTATCAAAATGTAGCTACCAAAATTCCCCAAAGGTCTATATAAATCATGCGACGATCAGATTCAAACTTGTGACCCCTCCAATGAGTAAGAACTTTTTTTTGCGGTATTTATAAACATATTTACTGGTCATTCAAACTAAATTGAGCACCTGACTCATCGACAAACTGGACCTAAAAATGATAATCTCCACAAAGCCACCGACAATCGTTTTTAATTTGTTTCTTCCACACTTGTTTGGCACACTTCACAAACTAATCTCTCTGAATTTTAACCAGGTGTAGTAAGTGAAGGCTCAATTGAGGTTTTATTGTATTGATACAAAATGTAGAAAGTAACTAAAATTGTCTGACCTCGATTTAGGACCGACACAATTGGGTTTCACAGGTAACTTTCCGTATCCACTCAGTTTTTTTGTAATCTCAACTATCGTATAATCCTGGCAGTTGACTTTCCATTGTTGAGGCTAACGCTGCAATCCCCATAACAATCTTTCCATAAATTAAACCACTTGAAAAATTCAATTTGACCCATTTCGGCTTTTTTTGTCGAGGGGCCGCAAAGACCATCACTGATCCAGCGTGTTAACACTGAAATTGGTGTATTATTCCCCAGTAATGAAACTGAGCCCCCTTCTCTCTTTTTTAGCAGAAATTATTTTCAAACAGGTGGATTTTTTTCTCTTTTATGGGGTAATTCAATCAGATCAGATGGGTGCTTAGTGTGTTACTGAATCGCCTAGAGGTAAGGTCAGTAGGGGTTACATTGTTGTCGGCATTTACTTTTGTTGTGCTAAACTTGTCACCTTCACCTGTTGGGGCACAGGTTGGCCGGAGTTCAGAGCTGGACTGCTTCTACAACTCTCTCATGAAACTAATAGACAGCAATATTAGGATCAGCAATATCTAGGCCAAATTACTGGGACCATTAACTACCCACACATAATTATGTGGTTGGATAAAATACACAAAATAAGATTCTTATTCCAACTTAATATAAATGTCAGTTGAAAGGGTTAATAATTATTAAGAAAACACTTGCTTGAGAATGATCCTTCAATTTTTAACAAAACTGAATGATGGGGGTTAAATTTTAAGGAAGCAAGGGAAAAAAAGGATTAAGAACAAAAAGGTCAACGTGGGAAAGCAAAATGTTTAGGAAAAACATGAAATGGACCAAGACATTAAAACCTTGACTCCCTTTCAATATTTCGCTGAGAGGAATGAGGGAAGGATGAAATTAATCATTGTTAAAAAAATGCACAATTCATTTCAGAAGGCCTCTTTTAAATTTACTCGATGATCAGTTATAAACTGTTTTATGGTAAGCAATCATTTCATATAGTTAACCTATGTTCTGAAACATCTGGCTAGCTAATGTTCTTCGAACCACCACTTCAAAATCAAACTGCATTTCACTACTCAAAACTAAGTTTTGAAATACATGTAATATAATATACATACATGTTCTCCATCAATTTGCAAAGTCAACAGAAATGTGTCCACATGGGCTTTGATCAGGAAACCTTGGTCTTGCCTCCTATGGTTACCTTGGGTTACCGGAGGCAATATAAAGCTCTCTGTCAAGGCCCATGCTTTTGTCATTGACCCCCATGCCTGTTTAAATAAATGCGGGACTGTCTGATACAGTATCCAGCAGGGCCAAACGTGAAGAAATGTTACAGTGTTTAATGTCAAACTTTGGTATTTCATCATTATCGGCCATATTCTGAGTTCAGCTTTTGTTCTAAAAATATGCATGCTGTACAGTTCTCTATGCTACACAAAGTAACACAGTGATGAGTGCCTATAACCCCTCAATAATAGCGCCCTCTTGGGTTGGAGAACACATTTACTCGATGTGTATAAAATGTATAACTTGTATTTCAAGCATCTGGATTCATATGTATATTGATACAATCAAGAAGCAAGCTGACTGTCAAAATTGTGAGGAATCACAAATAAAACTTACTATCCAGATCCAGAATACATTTGCCATTTTAAATAAGAAGATGGTACATCATCACCAATGCATTGTCATTTTTATCAAGGATTCTTCACATAATACCTTTTTAGAAGCAATATTTGCAAACTTTACCCAAGTTCTGGCACGCCTGACACGCACGTATAAGTTTTTACTCTTACAATCTGTATGACCTTCAGTTTGGTCAAAGCCACAGTGGCATTGAGTTCTACCTTAAAAAAAATACGTAGGCACACATAGTCCATGCTATTGTAACTCTGACAAACAGGCCTACATCATAATCATAGTACACAATGCCAAGGGTAAATGAATAACAGATTGATTCAGTGCAAGAGAATCAACAGCGGCATTAGGACTAATTAGGTCTTATCAATGACATGATAATATAAATATAAATATTTATGGGGGGCATTATTTAGGGGGTATTTCAAGATAAAAGCATTGGAATGAGTTTACTGTGAATGATTGAAAAAGATCCGACGATCGTTTTAACAGCAGCTGCTGAAGTGTTTACTGGTATTCGTATGCATAATGTGTTTGCTGAACGAGGACCAAAGTATACACAAATATAATTATCATGAGTTCAAGATCACGTGCTGGAAAAATATGTGAAACAGCTAATGTAGGTAAATAAAAGGTGGACATTTAGGCAGCTTGTAATGAGTGGAAAGTAAAAAGAATCAGGTTGTACAATGCCTTGGATTTTAACAGCACTCCAATTGTACCAGAGTTTAAGTCCGCATAACTTGTCACCAGTGATGTGGAAACCAAGTCCTTTCATCCATTTTAAAACTATTTTCTCTTTCCTCTTTTCAAACAAGTAAACATGTATTGTAAAATTTGAAGAAGAAAAAAAAGAATTCGAGCAAGAATGCGGAAAAATTAAGTCTGCGTGACTGGGGATAAACGTGTCAAATGCCTGCAATATTTCACCAGATTTTGGAGTACAAGTACGCAGTATTAGGTGGCACTGATGATTGGTGACTGCTCTATGTTCCGACACTACGCCCGGTTAGGGTTAGGGTTTGGGATAGGAATATGTGCAGTCGGTGTCGGAACATAGGTGTGTAACCTTGATGATTGAGGAGAAACATACTGCTACTCTGAAACATCTTTCAAACTTTCAACAACAAAAAAGTGAATAAAAACACAACCAATAACTGCCAGCAGGTTGATTGGCTTGTGTACAATGTGCCTCACTACCTGCATCTCTGTGACGAACAGGAAATCGTAATTGTAATAATGATCATACAGGATGTAGCTGAATGATAATTACTTATTATGGCCAGCCTTGATGCCTTTTATCCTAAAAGATCTCCCATTTTTTTTTTCTCCACACGTTTCCTGCGTTTCTTTGATCAATTCTGGGTGCCGTCCTTGGGTATTTTTCTGCTTTCAATAAGTGGGTAATGGTACTAATTGGAGTCGAAAAGGTCCCCTTTCAGCGGGTGACAATCTGAGGCTAAATTGACCCCGTGTGAGCCACCTAATTGGGCCTGGCTTTGGTTAGCCAAGGAAAAAATAATGAAAAGAAAATCTCTCTTTTTTTTCTCCTGCTGGACACTGCATTTAATCCAGCCCCAGAAACATTTTGTGAAAGACTATACCAAGGCTTCAAACACAACCCCCAGGTAAAAAAAGGGGGGGGAACAGTGACGTAAAATGTTCAAAGGAATTCAGGGAAAAGAAAAACTTTTTTGAAAAGTAACAAAATGTGACGTATTGATTCAAGAAAAAAGGGGGAAAACTAGGAAATCAACAACCAAAAAATGGGCTTAGTTTAGACACTGACCTATTTAGAACTTTGACAAGCAACCTTTGATGAGGATCAGTCAGATTCAGAAGAAAATAAGTGAGACGAATGGGAATGAAAATGGTAATTAAATCCTTGAAAAAAAGGGTTGGCTGGGACATATTTTGCAAGATTAATGTCTGAAGCTGAATTTAAAATAACAAAATAGCAAAATAACTGTCAAACATACAGGGAGTGGAGAACATTCACTACGCATTCCAACATATGAGAAGTTGGAAAATTGGCCCAACAATATTTTCATCACTAGATAGCTTTATTTACAAACATGGCATTCATAGTTTCCACGCAGTCATAACACTGACAGGAACTCAGAAAGGTAATATTTACACGCATTCTGTGAAGAATTCAGGATTCATGAGATTTGAGGCATTTTAAAGTATTATAAAGTACAACTTGGAAGTTTGCGAATACACCATGTGGGTTTACTAATGCAAGCGCAAAGCGTGAAGCCCTAATGGCGTGGGTTCGGGGTTCCGGGCCCACTTAAGGGTCACGCTCTGTGGTGCGATCTGAGGCAATTTCAGACCATTTTAAACCTTTTACCTTTGTTTTAAGCAAAATATCATCATTTAAACATCAGTTTTATGAGTTTTACAAGGTATTTATTATTTTTTTTAGCGTGAGAAATCATGTATGCGCGCGAGAGCATGAGAACAACCTGAAATGCATGAGTCTCACGCTCAATGCGTGAGAGTCGGCAGGCCTGTGAGCATAACTTGCAACTGAACCACACTCTACCATCAAGCAAAACATTTTTAAAAAGGGCACTTTGCACAACTGCATTAAAATAGAGGCTTAAATGACAAGCTTGGACTGTTACCATCTAATAACCCAGCAATGGTAATGGCACGAAAATAGGTCTAGATTTTGAGGGTGCAGCTAAACTTTTATTCCAGGGTTGCAATTGCGTGCCAACAGCGATACAGTTCAAACCACTTCAAAAGAGGACATTCAAAAGCATTTTCAGATTTTTTTTTTTCTTTTTCGAACCAGAAACTAATAAAAAGCTGGAAAGATATTTATCATTTATCTGTACTGTGATACAATAAGCCTGCCGCAGTGTCTCGGGCCGATGGCGCCTGTATGAGGCACATGACAAGATAATACAGTGCCGAAGACTAGAAATAGACCTAAACAGACATTCCAATACCCTCAATGAACCAATTCTGTTCCAACAAAAAAGTACTTGAGTGGTCGATTTTTCTTTTGTTGACAATGCTGATATGATTTGTGTCAGGTGTCCGGGTAAATATTATCAGTTTGTTTCCCCGAGGGACGAAGTCCACATAGTTCAGTTTCTAGGGATTCGCGCGTGACGTCATCAGTAGGAACAAACCTGGCTGAATCAAAAGTATAAGGTTTTTCAAACCTCTCTTAGAGTTTGAGTAACTATTGTTCAAAGAAATACCAGTTATATTTAGCTGCGGGATAGCAGCTCAACAAATCATGGTGTCTCAGTCCGTTAGTAGTTTGTTAGTAACAAACGTTGACATTGCTTATTGCTCCTACATATTTTGACGATTTCAACCAACTTTGTCAAAAGCATCAGTCACATGTCAGATGACCAAATTGGGGTCAAAGGTCATCATGGGGTCACCGGGGTCAAAATTCTGATTTTTTTTTTAACTCACAACACTACTCCTTCAAGAAATTTCATGGCACAATCACGTGACTGATGCATGAACATAATTCGTTAGCCCACAGCTTCTGAGATCCGATCAAGCTTGTTTTATTACAAATAACAGAGTTATGATTTGCTTACCTTCAAACATCTGTGCGTACTGCGGGAAGCCGGCTGCCCTCAACCACTGACAAGTCTCTGCAGCTTCAATCTCTGTAAAAACAAAACAAAAATAAACCAAATTCTAATTAATTATTCAGTTTCACTCAAATGTAGAAATGAATGGTCAAGAATGGTCATTTATCAATTTTGACTTTTGGTAGTCTGGGGTGGTTTTTTTTTTTGGGGGGGGGGTTGCCTCGGATGGCAGAAATTGCTTGCAACGATGACAATCGCAAGTGTGCAAGCAACCTCTTTCAATAAAGCATCCCATGTTTTGCTCTCATTTTTGCATTTTACCAACAAATGAAGAAGTTTTCATGTCACCAAGGAGTTTTAGTTGCTTAGCAAAAAGAATGAAGCACTTCCATGGAAGTGCTCGTGAACTTGGCGGGAAAAGACTTCCAACTTCATCGGCACCTCTTCTACTATGAATCGGGTTTGATGTCATCCAGTGCGAGCGAAAACGATTTCTTGCGAAACCGATCTGGATTCTAATTCTTATCTTTTATCAAGTCTGTGGAGGAACTGAAAAAAATGCAACATCGAGGGGAGATGCCACTACGCACGTACTGCACATTCCAGGGTGAACTTCGGACGGCGCAGGTCGTAAATTCTACACTTTGGGAGACAAAGCGACATCTTCAGATGAACTGTAAGACGTTTCATCTCAGCAGGAATCTGTCCGTGGAGTCCAGCTGCACTCTCTTGCATCATCAGAAGTGATCAGCTGATGAAGAAATTCACTGCAGTGCCCAAGATCTGGGCTTTATCGTCCAAGTAGAGCGTGGGAAAATATTCCGTCTCTGCCAAGATGCCCACGTGAGCCATCTGCGCGAATGCGTCATGCCGAGGTGATAAAATCAAGACGCTATAGGCCTCTCCTTGTTACTTCACATTGAACCGTGATTTATCTGCTGATTGCACTTCAGTCAATTATTATGGAAGGAATGGGGTAGTTTGCACAGTAACCTGAATCAGTTGTGCCAGGGTTGTATGGTGTTTATACAGCAGGCCAGCGGGCTGGCAGTGATATGACCATAAACTAGTCATCGCTGACCATCTCAAATTTACTATATCATCCGTAATTCTGATTCTCTCCTTTAAAACCAGTCTGCTGGTGGCTACACCAAGTTAAAAGATGATTTGAATTGTTCTCGCGTACTCGTTACAACTTCCCAAAATTAAACGTTCAAGAAGGAACGGGGTCTGGGTGTCCTACAATGTTCTTGAACTTACAATCAACTTACCGCTTACACATTCTGTTTGCAAAAAGTGATTTATGGTTGGCAATGGCAAAAGACTGCCAGTATAGGGTCAATGCCATGGACAGGGCCTTAACAAACGGATTACATTTCTGGGTAAAATGCACACTAGGGAAGGCTAACTCCAAACTTAACAACTAAACAACGAAGGCCATTACAAGTTAAACAGCTGATATTTTACACTGGCTCCTGTCACAATTCTGTAGCTTGCTCTAATCAGGATGAGAACCAGGCTACCAACATTAGGAGTCATAAATCATGTTGTCTTGGGGGATCGGTTTGGTTTCATGTTCAAGGGAAAAGGCCAAAAATTGGGCCCAATAATATACATGTACACCACTCCAGTGTCAAGGTTATGATACAAATTGCAGGAATGTTGAACATTGATACATGATCCATCAAGTCTATGATGTGTTTGCCTCAGAACATATCACATTTCCAAGTTAACTTACAACCTGAAGGGTAAGAGTTCAGTTCATTTCAACTCACTGACATAAGACAGGTCATCGTCCCTGCGTACTCAAACGATCAAGTTAATTATTATAGTTTACCAAATGATAAAAATGGGTGGAATTCAAGAGAATTGTATAAATCCATTAGAAAAGAATAGCTATAAATAGGATACATTAATTACAATGAAACACTTAGTTTGCTCTTTTTGACAAAACTTACCATGACCTCAATGGGCAGGAACGAATTGTGTCATTTTTTTTTTTTGGCGCCCACTAACACGTGGGTGTGTTATTTCCAAATAGCCTTCACATTACTAAGTTCTGCTTGAGCATTTCAGTACATAGCACACTATTTCACAATAGTACGCAATCTTGAATAAAAAGTATTAACTTTGACGATTAATTTCTCGGGAGATTTGAGGGTAGCTGATGTTAAAATGCAACACAAACTGATTCATAAAAGCTTACTCGACAGCCGCAAGGGTTCCATGTTTATCAGCAATTAAAATCCTTGAATCAGTTATACACAATGCATCAATTTATCCATGGAGTATTTAAGACTCAATTACACCAACCTTGCTGAACACCTTAAAGACACTTGATACAATGCCTACTCATTGACTCGATCGTTATTGGTTTCCTTGCAAGCCTTGCAAGCCGCGAGGCAGGGTGTGCATAATTAATGAGGCGGGGTCATTTACCGCATACCGCAGGCATCCATCGATCAGACCTTTCCAAGACTTCACACCAAAAGATGTCATTAAGAAAAGAGGCTTAATGATTTATTTACTTTGTAAAGATTGATTTTCTCTTCTCTGGTTCAATTGAAAAGCAAGTACGTGTATAAAGACCAAGGGATCAACAGACAATGATGGGTTGTCGCCAAATGAAATTTGCCAGGGTTAAGCCAGTAATACAGTACGTAAAACGGAAAAAGAAGTACTTTTTGAATCTTTTTTCCCAGTACACATTTTGAGGAAATTTACTATTTTGAAAGAAGTCACTTGAATGGGCTGCCTTTTACTGAACCCGGGGAATGATTTAATACCAAATCTTACTTTGTCAAAAGAACATGACGAAAAGGATTTGAAAGGTTTCATTCAGGTTACTTCTAACGGAGCGAAAAGAAAAAGAAAAAAATGAAAGTGGCAAAAACAAAAGTTTTCAAGAAGTTACCGCATCGTATGCACTGCAAGAGTAGGCTCTCCCTGCGCTTCCAAGCCTGCTCCCGCATATCTTCACTGCTTTTCGATCGTAACATGCAGAAATAGTCCTCCGATATCACACTCCGAACGCGGACCAACTATGATAATGTTCACTGAAACAGGGTTTGGTGAGAAAGGAACGATGTCCTGATGACAATTAAGCTATTAATGGTTGGCTCCCTGAAGCATAGCTGGCAGAAGTATAAAACGTGTCGTGGCCAAATCCAGAGAGAGTGCAGGTTCATCAATACGGTTTGTTTGATTGTAAATAGCCCTGAACACCTTCCGGAAGTGTGTGTGCGTGAGTTCCCTACGCGCTAACCACAATAATGACAGGTAACTGCCCCACCGAAAAACCACAGAGTGGTCCAAAGGCTATAATACAATAAATCTGTATAGGAGGTGCATTCAAGGCATTGCTCATACTTTATGCAGCTACTGAGAGTGGTTCTACCTGTGCCTGTGTGGGTTTGTATAGTGGCAACGGGAACGCAGAGATACACCTGAAGCACTTATCTGGTTTTTATCATGCAAATGATCCGAGGACAACAAAACCTAGGCAGTAAGGGAAGTAATGTCTAAAGAATGCAAGGGGTGCAGTCCAAAGTGCGTTGGGTTTGGATGAAAGGAACTGGTGTAGCGTGACGGAGGGGGTTCAAGTGCAATGCAACGCAACAAGGCCAATACCCGAGGGTTCCATACACGTTAGGAGATAGCGTGATATTTTTGGAAAATTGTGAACAGGAAATTTTTTTTGCTTGTTCATGGAATTCCAGAAAAACAGCTATCTGTAGGCGGGTTGTACTTTTTTTTGATCTGCATGGTTAACCATTGGGTTGTTTTTCTCGGGGACAAAATGTTACACTGTTGGCGTTGAAATTGATTGATGTACCAGCCCAGTCATCAATCTAAGTTGACAATTCAATGGTTGGTCTCATTTGCTTACAAATGCACAAAGGATGCCATCTTTTATGAGAATCTTTTTTATGTGATTGCTTTCAAAAACCTTTCAGCGAGAAAAAAAACTTTGTTGATCTTTATAATACTGAATTTTGAAAGATTTTGCCAACTTGCTTGCTTACTATTCAGCCGCTTTTAGATGTAAATGAGTATGATTTTGACAGATTTTGGTGGAGGAAAAAGAAACTCTTTTTTGGTTCCGGGGTATTGTTGTAAGTTACAATGACTACAGGGCTTCCAACTTTTAGTAAGAGCTGAGACTGAGAATTTGGCAATGGAGCTTGATCAGTAGTAATCCTGCTAATGCGAGCGCAAAATGCGAGCGCAAAAAGGCCCCGAAAAAATGTGCATTCTAGAAGCTCTGTGGTGTGATCTGAAGCAATGTCTGACCACTTTTACCAACTTTTTTGAGCAAATAATCATTTAAACATCATTTTCAAGTTTTATTATTTATTTTTTTTTAGTGTGAGAAATCCTGAGTGTACATGAGAGCGTGAGAACAACCTGAAATGCGTGAGTCTCACGCTCAATGCGCGAGAGTTGGCAGCCCTGTGACTATCTACAGCAAAAATTGAATTTCCAGTAAGATTTCTGGCAGCATGTTTAACTGTTGAATATTCATTGGCAGCAAAGTTTCGTTTCAAATTTCAAGGAATGCAATTTAAACTTCATTTCAAATTCCTGTTTTTCGTTTCCAGTTTATGGTACAACCTCAGGGTATTTCTGCGAAATTCATTCGATTGTGATATTTCACTATTAAACGGTTCAGCAGCAAAACATCCTGTCCTTCAGGAAAAAAGCAGGGTATTGTACTTTTTTTGGGGGGAGGTTATTTCTGTGAACAAGTCAGTTGCATCATTCATCAAATACAGTTAAGTATCGTATTCACAGTCCAGATGCGTTTCTGAGGATGTGCACTTGACCTATGAATGTTAGCATTGAAAAAATACCACAAAATTCACCAGAATAGGCAACTGAAAAAGATGGCATTGCCGTTTACCATTCTTTGACAAACTGTTCACCATCTGCTATACAGTCAGCATGATATCTGCAACGATAATGTAGTGACGGTAATCATCTACTATCCACAACCAATTTCCTCAAGCAACTAAGTACAATAATTGGCCAAGCGCCGAACAATGTTTACTAAGCAAACATAGGTTACCAGCCAA